GCTACATATTGGGTGTCTTGCTTCTTTTTGATATTTAAATAATAAATTATTATATTTCCGGCTTACTCACGTAGTAATTTGACGAGGAACTCGACTAGTTTCAAGCCATGCTAGAGGCTCATAAGCAGCATTTCGCGACCCGCGTAGTAGCAGTAGCAGCGCGACTGCGAATTACTACGTGAGTAAGCCGAAAACATAATAATTATTTAAATAATGCTTCAAAGTGTATAACTATAACTCGGAAAATGTCACTATAGTACTTGCCATTGGTAGGTTTCTAATTCGCACCCTCATGCATGAGAAACAGGCGTCTTATCGCGGAGAACCTAACGGGTTACCGGGGCTCCGGCTCGACGTGCAGGAGAAGGAACGGGGTGGTTTTTAGTCAGTAAGAGTTTGACACTCCCTCCCGCCTCACCCAGGCGGGAGCAGTTCGAGCACTCGATGATTTCCTCCCCTTAAAAAAAATACCTCCGGACCACCACGACATTAGGTGTAGGTATTGAAAATTATTATTACCCACTTTGTCATTTACCAAAAGTATCATGTCCAAGGTTATTTCATTAAATCCTTCTTCCATGACAACTTCTATACCCGTCATAAAGAAAATCATCCAAAAAATCTTCACTATTATTTTCCACGATCCAATTTCACCTAACCAATTAAATGTCCGTCGGTTTCCACCGAAATCCCACGTTAAAGGCCTGAGGCGTTCAAAACTGCAATACGCATAAATGAAACTACAGCTTCTATATCAAAAACTTTGAAAATCAACCTTATTGCATTGGAATAGAGATGTCTGTGGCAATTTTGGCGAGTATTCAAGTGAAATTGATAGTTTGAGATTTACCTATAATACTCGTGGGTTCTGTTCATAGAATTTTGGCCTTTCTTGGTATATCAGTATTGTTGTTACTATCCTATTGTACGTTCTAATAACTGCTAGATGTAGGTAGGTACAACATTGCCTAACAAACTGTTGGACTATGACTGTCCTACACATGAACGCGAGAGACACTCCGGGCGTCGGGAATCGCGAGACTATCTCTGGCCACCATAAGCACGAGCCTTTAGACGGCAAACACGGGTGACTCGCCGCCCGACCAAAATCAGTACGAGCGTACGCGCCTCAAAGAGCCATCAGACCACCACGGATGGGGCCCAATAGGGCTGATGCCACAGAAATATTAAAAAAAAGTATCTTCTTCTTTATTATATCTATGGTTGATGCCAATACGGAGTCGCGGAGAACGCAACGGGTTATCGGGGCTCCGGCTCGAAGTGCAGCAGTAGGAATGGGTTGGTTTTTAGTCAGTAAGAGTTTGACACTCCCTCCCACCTCACGCAGGCGGGAGGAGCCAGTCGATGATTTTCCCTCCTTAGAAAAAAAATCCTACACATAAAACGGTATATTTGAATGTCGCTCACCTGACATTCCGACCTTTTCTCATTTAGAAGACAGGTTGTTTCAGTTCAGGTTTATCAAAGACTGCTGCTGCCCAGTCTATATTAAATACGTAATCATTTAGGCCGGTAACGCGTTTGTGTTTTTCTGGTGTTCCAGGTGCCCATGTATGGCGCCGATTACTTACCACCAGGTAGTCTGTCTGCTCGTTTATCGGCTTATGCCGATATACGAGCAGACGATTATGAACTGCTTAACACCTTGAACGCCATAGGGTTCAACAGTTTTCTGTCGGCAGTCAAAGGCTTAACTGTGTAGGTATGTATGTATGTAAATATCTCTTAATTAGGTAGCCGATTTTGATGCGGTTTTCAGTAAAGTGATTGTTACAATTGGATAAACGTTTTTAAAATATTAATAAATCGACCTCAAAAAGAGGTTACAATCTATTTCCAAAACATAGTTTATAAAAAGAAAATTTTACTTTGAAATTACCCCAATTAGGCATGTTCTTAACAAGACGGTATCATTTACTGAATATCTCTGTAGCTTAATAATTAATATTCAGTTAAATGAAGTAGTAACATAGAAATCTATAACCTGATTGGATGTCGTCTGAAGCGCCTTCCGCGACTGATTACTCGAAGACACATTTGCTGCCAATTAGTGATCGGGGAACTATATTTAGATGTAGTTGGGGACAAAATTATTAACACGCCCTTAATTATTGATTATTGTTTGGAGCTTTCTTGTTCGTTTTTGGCGAAATCGACTAGTTTCTGAATTATTTTTCACTTAAAATTCAGTTGGACATTGGACATCGTTTTCGTAGTGATTAAATTGTGACAAGACTGTTTTCTGACTGTAATAACTATTAAAACACCCTTAAAACACATTTCTACACGTTTATATTCTTTTTTTTTTCTAAGAAAAAAGATTAGGATTTTGCCCCTGTGCCGTTGGTGCGTTTACAAACATACAAGTTCACATACACAATGACACCCAGACCCGGAACAATAATTTGTGGATCGCACAAAGTGTTGTTCCGTGCGGGAATCGAACTCGCGACACGTTGCGTGGCAGCCGGTTGCCCAGCCACCGCACCAACCATGCAGTTGATATTAAAACTTTAGTGCGACATACTAAATTAACTGCCTCGTTGACCGAGTGGTCGCAATTGCGACTGCCGGGCAAGGGGTCTCGGGTTCGATTCCCGGGTAGGGTAAAGTATTACTTGGTTTTAAAAAAAATCTCAGTAGTAGCACGGTGACTGAAAATGTGCCCGGTATATGGCAATAGGCCCACGTCCTATTACATGGGACTCATAACATAAATAGTGAAAAGTGGGTGTTACTTCTGTGTGCACCTCTGCCTACCCCTTCGGGGATAAAAGGCGTGATGTTATGTTATGATTTTTAACCTAAATCGTCTTCCACTTTCTCTTTACCAACCTGTCCATTCATACAGAAGTTACTATTTTAAACTGTCAAACACCAAGCGGTCACCGGTGACCGCGACCTATTGTTCTTTAATTGTGTCTATAAAACCGGTACTCGACGAGTTAAATATTCAACACAAATACAACGAAACATTCACCATTACACATCAAAGCACTAAAATCCCACTCAGCCATTATTTCATAAATACCAAACTTCTATTTAATGACGGTCCCAATTTCCCTGCAACACACTGTACGCCTGTATAGAATATAGCAGGAGTTTCTAATCAACGTTTTACGGCCATCCTGTATATCAGTTCTATATTGATGACGTAACCGTTGCCTAGCAACAGCTAAACTAGACACCAATTCATGTAAATTAGCTAGTTGGTAACATCACTAAATGGCCATTAACGCCTACCCTTTGGGCTTTTGAATTGAGAAGCCCGATAATTGGTGAATTCACCCTGCATTTTAGTGTTAAGGGAAAATATATGAAGCTTTAATGAAATGCTACACTTTAAAGGCTATTTTGGGAATTATGAATTACTTTTTAACACGCTTTGCCTTCAGTCTCGGGTGTCACTTTGCGTAGATTAATTCGTACTAATTATTTACAGAATACGGAACCGAATTCAAACATTCAAAATTAGAATTAGTTCTTTAGCTTCGATATCGAGCTCCCGTGTTTTTTTTTGGCATACCAAAACTATCTTGTCGAATATACTGCCAGTGTCGAGTGGTGACGGTTAGAAACTGTTAAACAAGTAACAACTACTTTGAACAAAGCAATGTCTTCGGCCTTGACTGGGGAACTTTAGATCATATATTTTTTTCGTGCCCCTTAAACTCCCAATCCTTTGACCTCTATCCAAAACTCCCCAGTATCCAAATCCCACTTCCAATCATTTTCCACCTCCTTTTTACTCACTTTTCCCATAAACTAATCCATTGTTTAAGTAAATATATCAATGAAAATGAGATTAAGATATGACGGTGTTCAATAATGTAAATGATGTACATACTTATCTGTCTGTATTGTGTATGTCCCCTCAACTATTTTCTACACCTCTGTATATATACAGTAAAATAGTTGATAATAATTATATGTTCACTAACCCAATTGTTTTGTCCTTTCAGCTACTAACAACTAAAAACTACCACAAAGTTAATTTCGACGGTTCATTAAACTGCCGTCACCACTGGACACTGGCATTATAGTCGACAACACCGTTTTGGAGACTCAGTTGCCAAAGAAGAAAAAAAAAAAAAAAAAGCAATGTCTTGTGACGTGACGTCATCATAACGTCACCTTTGTCATCAATTGTGTTTACAAATAAACAATAAAAAAACAATTAGATTCGTTAAGTAATATTGTGAAATTTTAATATAATGTGTAACAGTATTTTTATGATTAATTGATCAACGTTAGTCACTTTGCAAAAGTTGTTTGTAAACAAGATGACGATGAAGTTGACGCGGCGATGACGACACGGCACGTGATTTGTTCTAAACACATGAGTACGTTGAAAAATAGAATTTAAAATTATATGTATTGAGTTTTTTCTATTACTTTTAAGTGTGGATAGTGTTGCTTCGGCACGATTGGGCCTGTTCCGAACTTCATAGAAATCCGACGTGAAACAACTTGCGTTGTGTAAATGAGGGTTACTGAAGGCCAAATTACTCCCCTCAAATTATCTCCAAAAGTCCGGTAACGCACTTGTAACATCTCTGGTGCTTCGGGTGTTCATGGGCGGCGCCTATTGCTTATCATCATGTCGTGGAGAACCTAACGGGTTACCAGGGCTCCGGCTCGACGTGCAGGAGAAGGAACGGCGTGGTTTTTAGTCAGTAAGAGTCTGACACTCCCTCCCGCCTCACCCAGGCGGGAGCAGTCATTCGATGATATTCCCCCAATTAAAATTGCTTACCATCATATGATCTGTTTGGTCGTTTAATTGGATAATCCCATAAAAAGTACTTCACTCGATTCCGTTTGGATCTAATGATATTTAATTCAAACAATATACTTAAAACATATCTGTGTCTGGAATTGAACTCTATCTGATAATAATTTAAAAATACTATGTCATAAATAAAGATATTTAAAAATTATCATGTTTCCAAAATTAAATATAGTATTTGTCTCTTTCAGGTCTTGATAGAAGAAAAAGGCTGGCAGATATGCGTGTTGTCATCACCCAACACTTTACTGAGAGAACGGTGACCCCGGGTGGCGATGTGAGTATCTCAATTTAAATTTTAGTAAATAATTATTTACTGGTACCTTTTTTTGATGACGGGGGGAAACCTTCAAAAGGCGTCTAGCCTTTTTGGGGATAAAAGACTAGGGAGTGTGGGATTTTTACCTCACTAAAACCACCCCAGTGGCCACGCTTAACACCTGTATGGAGGCACCGGGTCCTCTAGAAGAGACCTGCTCCGGCGCCTCCACGGTGCAACGCCTGTTACGACACATCCCTAGGTATTTACTGGTACCTATGTCCTAAATTGTCAACTACTGAGAGATAGACACAGCAACATTTTCTAACTACAATCTATGATACTAATAGGACTATTTAATCGTAGAAGTATTTCTTCTGATGACGTTAAATATAATATTGAATTGGCGTACATACTCATTTTATTGGCATTTAGAATTGCTGAAACTTACCAAACAAACCACTATCTCGCCTGGTGGTAAGGGATGACGCGATCTACAATGGAGCACGTTGTCCACTAAGCAACCTATTCACTCAGGCCTTGGAGACACCCATACACCCTTTAGGAAATACAGACTCTGGCAAAGAATTTCACTCCTTAGCAGTACGCACAAGGAAGCTTGATGCGAAGCGCTTCGTGCGTGTGGACGGGACACACCTATACAATAAATCGGTGACGCTTCGCCGATTGTCATCTGGTACCATGATGGAAAGGACTAGGGGGAATCAAGTTGTGCTATTCCCCGCACACTCACGGATATGTATACGGTAGAAAAACATGTTGTCTGTGTATTTGCAGATCAGCATGCAATGCGCAGCCACCGGCGACCGGCCTCCTCAGTTCGTGTGGGAGAGAGACGGCATTGTCGTATCTAGTAACACAGACCCAAGGTAATTTAGCTAATTTTTACTTTCACATCATGATTTTAAGATCTAATTTAATTTGCAGACCGTATAAGCATTTTTATTTGCTTTCTTCCTTGGAATGTACAAAGTTAAATAATACTTTATGACTAGAGAATCGATACATGAACAGCCTTATAAATGCCTAATGTTGAGCAAAGCCTCTTCTCACACGGAGACGGTTAGAGCATTAATCACCACGCTTGCTCATTGCCGGTTGTAGATTTCCAACTTAACACGATAAACGCCACGCAGACCGATGTTAGCGGAGGATTTACCTCCAACAGTTTTCTATTGGCAGTCAAAAGCTTATCTATAGAAATTATAAGTTTAGGTTTCCTCACGATGTTTCCCTTCACCGTTTGTCAGTGGTATCTAAAATAATCTAAGAAAGTACATATAACTCGAAAATAGACACATTGGTACTTGCCGTTGGTAGATTTCGAGCTCGCGCCCTTATGCATGAGAAGCTGGCAACCATAGAAAGAAGCAATATAACTAACTAATTTTAGAACTGTTTGAGCCAGAGATTATTGAGATTTTCAAACTCAAAATTCTTCTCACAGACTAATAACTAATATTTCACTAGCCAGCTGCTTCTCATTTACATTGGCACTTTTCACACAATTGGGATGATGACAGGGTATGAAAATTAAAAATCTAATTAGTCTGTAAGTTAGGTAATGAAAAAATATTAGACACGTATTTTTTTATTTTGTCGTATAATAAAACAATACTTAGATAAAACGAATCAAAGTTTAGGAGTGGGGGCTAAAACGTCATTTCTACGTATAAAATGTACATAGAAGTGACGTCACGCGACATTTCAAATCAATATATCGTAAAAATACGTGTCTAATGATTTAAAATGATCTACCAGACGGACATTAAAATAAAAATTAGGCATCTACCCTATTATCAAAACAATTCCGTAGCACATTTTTCGACTTCTAACTCATAGGTTAACCTAAAGCCAGAAGCTAATTTATACTTCTATTACTTTTCAGATACGCACTAGGTCAAGTGATGACGTCAGATAACTCAGTGGTTGCTCAGCTGAATATCACGCGAGTCAGAGTGGAGGACGGAGGTCTATATACCTGTACTGCAAGGGAGGGAGACCATGTCGCTTCTCATGAGAATCGGCTGGATGTCTATGGTACGATTTATTTCAAAAATAACATTACCACTCCAAGATATGAAGACAAAACTATGTTATCACTAGTTGTTGTCCACGACTTCGTTCGCGTAGAATATGATGCATGATAAAAAGTATCCTACCGCCTAAGTCAGCTCATATCTTGCGTGAATACCAAATTTATTGATTTATTATGTACACACATACAACACAAAGGATAACACATAATGTATATTAAAGTAAAAAGGTACCACCTATTCCTATTGGGATATCTTCCTGTGAAATTTCATCAACATCCGTTCAGTAGTTTCAGCAATTCACGGACAAACATCCAAACACACTAACAAAGGAATATTGACACGTTTAAAATATTAGTGTCATTCAACATAATTATGCCTGTCGTTGGAATGAGTCCTAACTAATTATTATCTGTAAAAAATACTAATAACGTTCGACTATAACTAAAATTTTTTGGTTACAATTGTGACTGCTGACTTCCATGCTTTGTGGTTTTGGAAGCTGCATCAAAATCCCTTTGAGTACCGTCATTATAGACACAATTAAAGAACAATAGGTTGCGGTCACCTTGTTGCGGTGACTGCCTCGTTGTCCGAGTGGTCGCAAGTGCGACTGCCGGGCAAGGGGTCTCGGGTTCGATTCCTGGGTCGGGCAAAGTATTTCTGTGTTTTTAAAAATCTCAGTAGTAGCACGGAGTTTGGAAATGTGTCCGGTATATGGCAATAGGCTCACCCCCTATTACATGGGACTCATAACATAAATAGTGAAAAGTGGGTGTTACATTGTACAGTGGCATTAAGTGCCGAAATGTGCACCTCTGCCTACCCTTTCGGGGATAAAAAGGCGTGATGTTATGTTACGGTCACCGGTGTCCTCACGGTGTTTGACAGTTTAAACTGGACTAAAAGTTATTTTTCTCGTATAATAAAAATAAACCTAAAGTAAATATTGAGTTAGTACCCCATAATTGACTGATATTATTACGTCTTTCAGGTCCGCCGTACATCAGGTCTCTTCCGCCAATCAAAGTTCAAAGTGGAGAATCAGTCAACTTGAGGTGTCCGTTTTATGGATATCCTATAAGGTATCTATGACTCTTACTTTTCTATCTATCATCAACAACCTATAAATGCCTACTGCTGAGCAAGGCCTCTTCTCACACGGAGAGGGTTTGAGCATTAATCACCACGCTTGCTCAATGCGGGTTGGCGATTACAAACTTATAATTAGAAATTATAAGCCCAGGTTTCCTCACGATGTTTTCCTTCACCGTTTGTCAGTGGTGTCTGAATAATCTTAGAAAGTACATAATTATAACTCGGAAACAGTCACATTGGTACTTGCCGTTGGTAGGTTTCGAACCTGCACCCTCATGCATGAGAAGCGGGCGTCTTAAACCTCCGGGCCACCACGACACACTTTTCTATCTATGCGCAAAGCATATTTACTTTTTTATGGGATAAGCCGGTAAACGAACAGACGGATTTTGTTATACTCTGTCGTTTCTTGTTTTCATTATCGTTATGTATTATCTATAACTAGCTGTATTTATTTCTCCTTTTCTTTTTTATTTTGTATTATTTTTGTATCTGTGTGCGTGCCAACTGCCGAATAAATGCTTTTTCTTTCTATCTGATGGTAAGCAATGGGGGTCGCCCATGAACACCTGGAACACCAGAGGCGTTACAAGTGCATTACCGGCCTTTTGGGGAATAGGAATTTAACGATTGATAGGGATTCAGGGTTATTGTGTTTTGGAACTTCTCAAGAGCTGAGTGTTCAATTAAATAGCATTTTTTCTAAACCAACAATGTAACCATTCCAGCAAAATCGACTGGGAGTTCCAAGGCAAGCTGTTAACTTCAAACGCCATATTCCAGTCCAGATACAAAAGGTCCCACCCAAAACGAAAAACTAGACGAAACGCACCAAGCGTGAACATTAATGGAATCCTCTCTATTCCCGAAATTTCTAAAGAATTAAATGGTGCTATTTATACATGCATAGTTACTAGTCCGTCTGGTGAAATGGCGAGAAGAGCCTTCGAGATCCAAGTGATAGAAGCTCCTGTATTGGATGATCTGCTTCTTGGAACCAACCTCCAGGAAGGTCAGATTGTAAACATATATTGTAACGTCAGAACTGGTGACTTGCCAATACATTTTGAATGGCTGAAGGATGGAAAGAGGATTTCTAGTAATTTGAAAGTGAGTATTAAATTGGCTAGGTTTAAAATAAATTGTTTCAACTTTTCAATGCGATAAATAATTAAAAAATAATCACACTCTCATCCATTGATTTGACAATTTACCTACTTTTGGAATTTTTTTTTTTTTGCTAATTTTAAGGAAATAAGTATGCTATTTGACGCAGAAATATGATGACGTCATAAGTTGAGATCCAATACAAAATTCATAGAAAAGTAGTGTTTTTGACGACAATTCAATAAAAGTATTGAATCTGACTACCTGTCAACTACCGTATTATAGGAATTTGAGTTTTTATTATAACTTTTGTGAGACATACTAAATTATTCATTATGTATTAAGTAACTGTTTGACTCGACTCGACGGACTCGACTAGTTTCAAGTCATATTAATTGGGCCTTTAGTGAATCTCATGAATTTTAACTTTTCTTCTTTTTTCTTTTTTAAAAAACGTTGCCCCACACTAGGATTATCTCCTATGTCGTGGGTGCGTTTACAAACATACAAGTTCACTTATACAATGACACCCAGACCCGAAACAACAATTTGTGGATCACACAAAGTGTTGTTCCGTGCGGGAATCGAACCCGTGACACGTTGCACGGCAGCCGGTTGCCCAGCCACCGCACCAACCGTGCAGTCAGCAGAATGCAGCAATCATAGATTTAAAAAATATACACCTTTATACTCTTACACCTTTATAAACACCTTTATACTCAGGTAGTGGAGAGAAACTCGGAGCTCTTCAGTGCCCTGGTAATTAAGAAAGTCTCCCTGGAGCACTGTGGCACATACACGTGTGTCGCGTCCAACCACGTGGCCAAAGTCAACAGATCCACTGAACTATACATTAAAGGTACCTTCTTTACTTTCTTGTTTCCTGGTACTCGTAATTCGATCAGTTTTTTCCTAGTATTAAGATTGAGCTAAATTGTACTTGAGTGTCAATAGGGTCGTTGCCAGGGAATGAATTAAAAATCTAATTAGTCCGTCAGTTAGATAATAGTAAAATATTAGACACGTATTTTTTTTATTTTCTCGTATAAAGTTACAATACTTAGATAAAATGGAGTTAAGTTTAGGAGTGGGAGGTCGTTACGTCACTAAGTGCTACTAAATTTTAGGCACCCTATTGAACTTTTCTGGAAACCAGATTTTAGACAAATTATTATAATCTGTTCTAAATTAGACCTAGAAAGAAAATAAAATAATGAGCTCTTGTTAATATAGATTTGTTGTTGTTATACATAATACCGGGTTTTAAAAATTTTCTTAATAGTAATTTTTTTGCTCATATATTTGCAGTTGCACCCAAATGGTTGGAGGAACCGAACAACTCCTCGCTTCTGCTCGGTAGGAGAGGAGCAGTGTCGTGCAGTGCTAGTGGCTACCCGCAGCCACAAGTCCACTGGATGAAGAAAGATGGTAAGGAATACTATACGTCAATGAACTTAGAAGAACAATATTGAAAGAAAGAAAAAGCATTTATTTGGCAAATGGCACACAAAGATTATGAAAAATAAAAATAACAGATACTTACATAAATACATAATATTAATAACAAACTTAAAAGCGTAAAGAAAAGAACAAAAATCATCAAAATATTGCGTCAATTATTAAAACCTCGTGGTCATATTTGAATGACATTAACAGTGATAATATCATAGCTTGTTGGTCAAGTGGTCGCAAGTGCGACTGCCGGGCAAGGAGTCTCGGGTTCGATTCCCTGATCAGGCAAAGTATTACTAGCTTTTTTATTCTCTGTAGTAGCACGGAGTTTAGAATTGTGTCCGGTATATGGCAATAGGATAGGCTCTATTACATGGGTCTCATAACATAAATAGTGAAAAGTAGGTGTTACATTATACAGTGGTATTAAGTGCCGTAATGTGCACCTCTGTCTACCACTTCGGAAATAATAAGGCAAATGTTATGTTATGTTATGTTATGTTATATTGAAAAGAATTCAAATTAAAAAAATATATTTTCCGTTCGTTAGTCTCGCTAAAACTCGAGAACGGCTGAACTGATTTCGCTAATTTTGGTCTTGAAATGATCGTGAAAGTCCAGGTAAGGTTTAAAAGGTTAGAAAAAAATATATGGCAGTGGGAAGATTTCCGGGTCATCTAGTACAAAATATTAATAGGTACTTAATGAAATAAAATAAAGGAAATAAAAATAAAAAAAAAAACGTTTATTAAACACAAAAACTTCCAAAAGATGTAACAGTAGTCTAATCATTATACAATTATGGTAAATTATGAATACTAAAAAATTATAAAAAAAAACAACTTAAATTGAAATAATCAAAGATAAATTTAAGATGAGTACAATTAGGTTTTTTTTAACTGTAGCGTCCCGCCTGAGGTAGGTTTCATGAAAATCTAAAATTATCCTAAATGTTTTCCAGCTCTCCTCGGCACATGGCAACCAGTCCTGGAGCTGGCTGGCGGTGGTATCGTCAGTTTGCCAAACGGAACCCTCATTATAGAAGAAGTATCTCTCACTGACGAAGGCCTGTACTCCTGCAACGTGGAGAATGGGGTTGGACAACCGCTCAGCAAGTCTGTGTGGATGAGTGTTAATAGTGAGTAATTTTATATTTAATTATAAAGTCTACAAACTGTAGTAGATGTCTTTTCTTTTATTTGTCATATTTATAATTATCTTTATATATATAATTCTGCTGCCTATAATAAGACTGCCTCGTTGGCCGAGTGGTTGCAAGTGCGACTGCCGGTCAAGGGGTCTCGGGTTCGATTCCCGGGTCGGGCGAAGTATTACTGGGTTTTTATAAATTCTCAGTAGTAGCACGTAATCTGGAATTGTGCCTGGTATATGGCAATAGGCTCACCCCCTATTACATGGGACTCATAACATAAATAGTAAAAATTAGGTGTTACATTGTACAGTGCCATTGGGTGCCATAATGTGCACCTCTGCCTACTCCTTCAGGGTGATGAATAAAGGGCGTAATGATGATGTAATTACTATTACTATTATTATGGTTTGATTACTATCAAACCATAATCAAAAAATTGGCTTTCTAACAACTACATCTAGAGGTACTTACGACTGCACGGTTGGCACGGTGGCTGGGCAACCGGCTGCCGCGCTACGTGTATCGGGTTCGATTCCCACACGGAGAAACTTTGTGTAATCCACAAACTGTTGTTTCGGGTTTGGGTGTCATGTGCATGTGATTTATTTATTTGTAAACGGTCCCACGACACAAGAGAAATTCTTGGTGTATAACAAAGGTTTTTAAAAAAAATATATAATTAAAAAATGACCATGTCATAATCATGAGAGTATGCTACCAATTTTAAAATAGCTCGCTTAAACATTTCAGAACCAGTCCACTTCGAATCATCGTCAGCGAATGTGACGTCAAGACTTGGTCATCCAGTCACATTAGAATGTCGACCACTTGGAGACGAGCCAATCAGGGTAACTTGGATGCATGAGGGAAACGCTCTGGATTATATTAATCAGAGGTAACTATATTATTGTTGAATATATATAATTTTATTCTGACTGCCTCGTTGGCCGAGTGGTCGCAGGTGCGACTGCCGGGCAAGGGGTCTCAGGTTCGATTCCCGGGTCGGGCAAAGTAATACAGGGTTCTTAAAAAATTCTCAGTAGTAGCACGGAGTCTGGAATTGTGCCCAGTATATGGCAATAGGCTCACCCCCTATTACATGGGACCCATAGCATAAATAGTGAAAAGTGGGTGTTACATTGTACAGTGGCATAATGTGCACCTCTGCCTACCCCTTCGGGGATAAAAGGCGTGATGTTATGTTGAATATAATTTTATTTAGCATATTAAAATAAGCTTAAAGTTAGTGGTAGTTAGTAAGTTGTTAATCTGTCAGAGGACAGCACTAACAAGAAATAAGTATTGTGTATTATCTGTATTTACTTTATACGTCTATAGTCTATACTCATCTCTTTTGTCTTTGTTAATTATCTGGTGGAGAATAGTGTTTTTAGTTTTGTCCAACAGAAAATCTCAATTTCATTTGAATATAATAAGAATCCTATATATAGTTAACAATTATTTTAGTCTCATTTGTCTTCGATAGAATTAGGATGATAGGTATGAAAATAAAAATATGATTAGTCCGTAAGTTAGGTAGGTAATGAAAAAATAGTAGGCACGTATTTTTTTATTTTGTCGTATAATTCGAAGAAGAGTCTTAAGTCTATGATTGAAGAGTCGAAATAATTTATTTTCGAAAAACGAAAGCACCCAATTCAAATCATTTACCAAATTACAAGAAAAATATGTCATTATCTTTTTCAGAGCCAAAATATCAGAGACAAAGACTTCTCTTGGGGTGGTCAATACCATCAACCTTCAGTATTCAGAGATCGGTGACGCAGGACAGTATCAGTGCAGAGCTACCAATCCGTATGGAACTGCCACTTTTAGTGTACAGCTTACTATATTGGGTAGGTATTGTTGTATTTTTAATACATTACTGCTATTGATTGCTAACAAAAAACTGTTGAGGTAAAAATCTCCGCTATGTCGTCCTCTATTGCGTTCAAAGTGTTTATGAAAAGAAAGTAGAGACTTAACATTTTATACATTCTTCATTCAAAATCATTTCAATTAGACCAGAAACGCACTTTTGAACGTCAACAAAATATTAAAACTGAAGCTATTTGCTTCATACCAAGGTGTAGATTCCTATGGAGAAGAACGAGCAAGAAACTCCATAGGTTACTCTTTTTCAATCATGTTCACAATACAATTCTCTAGTTACATAGTTTTGTTGGTTCAATTGTGCGAGAACAATGTAATTCATATCATTCATTCGTATCGTGTCAACATTTTCCAAAATTTGATTTACGGTTGATCAAATAACTTCTAGCAATACTTATTTGCCTCGTTGGCCGATTGGTAGCAGGTGCGACTGCCGGGCAAGGGGTCTGGGGTTCGATTCCCGGGTCGGGCAAATTCTTAGTAGTAGCACGGAGTCTGGAATTGTGTCCGGTATATGGCAATAGGCTCACCGCCTATTACATGGGACTCATAGCATAAATAGTGAAAAGTGGGTGTTACATTGTATAGTGCCATAATGTGCACCTCTGTCTACCCCTTCGGGGATAAAAAGCGTGATGTTATGTTATTATGTTACAATACTTATCGGTTAAAGTATTCCTCTACCTACTCCTTTGTGGTTTAACAACCCCAACCAGACTCTGATACATAAAAACAGCAATATCAAAACAGTCCACACGAGTCTTATGTATGCTTGTACTCCCAGAGCCGCCCACGCCGCCGTCGGACGTCCGCGTGGAGTCGGTCCGGTCCCGCGCCGCCACGGTGTCGTGGCGCGGGCCGCGGGCGCGGGCGGGCCACTACACGCTGCAGTACGCGCACGCGCACTACAGCGACGCCGTCTGGGAACATGCCACCACTGTTAATGTTACCAGGTACATTGTTATTATCATTGTCATAATTTTTTTATGGGATAAGCCGATAAACGACCCGACGGATCACCTGATCGCAACCCAGCCATCGCGAGGGACACTCCGGGCGTCCGAGATCGTGGGACGATCTCCGGCCACCGTAAGCGCGGGCCTGCGGACGGCGAGCATGGGTGGCTCCCCGTCTGACCAGAAACAGACCCGAACGTACGGCGCCGAGCGTTCCGCGCGCGCCTCAAAAAACCATCAGACCACCACAGATGGGGCCCAACAGGGCCGATGCCGATTCGGAGTCGCGGAGAACCTAACGGGTTACTGGGGCTCCGGCTCGACGTGCAGGAGTAGGACCGGGGTGGTTTTAATCAGTAAGAGTCTGACACTCCCTCCCGCCTCACCCAGGCGGAAGCAGTCATTCGATGATTTTCGACTCTGAAAAAAGCCTTCAAAAGCGTACTGTACTAGAGGTACATTTTATAAGTCTCTAATATGAGGGACCATGATGAACCGCACTGATCTTAGATATCAACAGGCAAATATGTTAACTCGCTTCCTATCATGCATAACGAACTACTACTCCAAAAGAATTCTGAAGCATTATATTTACATTTTCATAACAACGTATTCCAGAAAAGACCAAGAGCTCCGTCAGTCAGTGGAACTGCAGAATCTGCGACCAGCTACCCCGTACGCCGTCCGCGTCGCGACGGGCAACCAGGTCGGCGTCTCGCAGTACACCGCTCCCGTACACTTCACTATGCATGAAGAAGGTATGCAGTTAAGACAATCACAATAAATATAAATTACGAATCTTCATAACAGTGAAGTCGTTAACTATCGTACAACAAAGTAAAATCATATAAATATATCTTATACTATTATATAAAGCGAAAGAGTTTGTTTGTTTGAACGCGCTAATCTCCGGAACTACAAGTCTGATTTGAATAACCCACTTGTTCCTGAAACTACTTGTTTCATTATATCTTAATAAATTTAACATATAACGCTAATAATACTATATTGTATACGAAAAAAAAATTTAAAAAAAATTTTCTTCTATTAGGAAAGTGGGAAAATGCCGTCCTTTTAAAAGAACGCTAGCAATATGTACTGCTATGGTATTCAGAGGTGAAATAAAATAAGACTATAGGTTTCACACAGTTTTATTTTGGAATATGAAAGCTTTCGAAGCAAAACTTAGGATGCAAAGTAACATTACATTTAGGACAGTAAAAATTGACTTTTTTTATGACATTCAAAGCACCGAAGTTGATTGTCTCTGTATCTCTGATTAGGTGATATTTTCCATCAAATCGGGAATCTTCGCGAAAATTTTGGGAGACACGAGTTGCTTTACGATCTGATCTTTTCTTATACGTTTCCAGAAGAGCTGTTGCCACACTTCTGCGGAAGTGAAGGAAGTCATATTCACCTCCGTTGGTTTTGTATAGTTGCCAAGAATTATGTAAGGCCATATCCAATCCGTGGCAAATCAAAGAGAAGTACCATTTCTTTCCCCTAATTGACGTTCTATACAGACCTATATTTTGATCGGATCTATCGACTCCCCCCATGTTTTCATTATATTTTTTAACGACAGCTGGCTGATCAACAAGTACATATTTTTTTTCTTGCTGTGAAAATCTTTTTACTTTTGTTACAGGCTGAATCGTAGCGGCATTTGATGCAACACTCACAACACTGTTATCATGCCACTTGCATACTAAAATTTGCTCTGCCCTAGTAGACTGGTGTTTGAATGTCCCTCGTGGTGTCTTCTGCAGTTGTTTGTTGGTAGGCAAAGGACATTTACCTGTGCGATTTTCGCGAACAGTTCCAGTGTCCTTTATTCCTCGAACTCTCAGTTCATCTGATTCAGTAGAAACCACGCGTCTGCGTTTAGATAACTGCATGAGTGGTATGTCATCATCCTCATCACTACAATTTTCTGACTGGAAACAGGCTTCTCCCAGCGCCCGTAACTGAGATCCGGGTAAATTGTCTAGAGAAACTTGGTTTTCATCACCTGAATCCTCATCAGTGACATCAGCATTGCAGTTTTCAGGAGGCAGAATGATAATGGAATCAGGTACTTCCTCTTCATCATCCTCTTCTAACTTTTCAACTATTTCATTAAGCGTCAAAGGCCGAGACCACGTTTTTTGATATCTGAAACGCATAATAGATGATAGTAACAGATTTTGCTATTGGTTGTTTAAAAGGACGGCAATTAAAACTGAATAAAATACATATTTGTAATGGCAATAAAATACTGACATTACTATTAAACTTTAATTTAGGCAGCATATAACTAAGTTCTAGCCTTCTTGAAAAAATAACATATTGTTATAGTTATCATTCCTTACCTTGAATTCTCCATAGTTAAAACCTTGAAATCAAAAATGTTTACAAAATAGAAGACTAATTAAATCACGAACAATAAATGATTTGTCCACTTCGTACACTTAAGACCCGTCGGATGAATAGAAACAACAATGTTATAAATACCCTCATTGTTCACAATAATTTTATTTATACATCGACCTTTTAAAAGAACGATAGCAACAAGTGGGATAATTCTTTTTGTGCTGGATAGCGCATTTATTGAGGATGGCTATAGGCTATAAAACATCTCGCTGCGACCAATAGGAGCTGAGCAGAGCGTGTGAAACGGCGCAGAAGTAGCTAGTCTATAAAAATATATCTGAGTCATTGGCCGAGTGGTCGCAAGTGTGACTGCCGAGCAAGGGGTCTCGAGTTCGATTCCCAGGTCGGGCAAAGTATTACTGGGTTTTTAATTCTCAGTAGTAGCACGGAGTCAGGAATTGTGCCCGGTATATAGCAATAGGCTCACCCCTATTATATGGAACTCATAACATAAATAGTGGACAGTGGGTGTTACATTGTAGTGGCATAATGTGCACCTCTGCCTACGGCTTCGGGGATCAAAGGCGTGATGTTATGTTATGTTTAATAATATATTTTAGAGATAAGAAATGTGTTTTCTTGTTAATAATTTTACATGACGAGGTATTATTATTTGGAAAACAATTAAAATGCTTTGCAAATGAAATTTCTATACGGAGTCGCGGAAAACCTAGTTACCGGGACTCTGGCTCGAAGTGCAGGTGTAGGACCGGGGTGGTTTTTAGTCAGTAAGAGTCTGACACCTTCCGCCTCACCCAGGCAGGAGAAGCCATTCGATGATTTTCCCCCGTAAAAAAAATGAAATTTCTAGAAGCATACATAGGCTACCATAATTATTTATTTATATTTAAACATTACATTTATCACCACAGGCACACCTAATACAATAAATGCAGTTACACATTATAAGTAAACTTATTACACAATATTTATCTTATTATAAATATCCTTCTACAAAGTTCTTTGGTAAAAACGTTATACTTACTATAACGTTTTTAACAAAGCATTCTATCTTCTTCCAGCTCCATCATCAGCCCCAATCAACGTGCAAGTGGAACAGACGGAGAATCCTGGCGAGCTCTACGTGTCGTGGTCTCCACCACTCAAGGAGACGCACAATGGTGTCATCATGGGGTACCATGTCAAGGCTGTGGCACAGAATGTTGGATCAGGTAGGAAAGAAATAGAAGTTTGAAAATAAATCAATGAATAAATAAAAAAAGAAATAAGTGCCCGGTGTTATGTTGGTGGATTGTTAAATTATTGTCGGATTTATTTACTTGGATTTATTACCATAATGTGCAGGGCGCACGACGTGTACACACACCAGAGTATGACGGGTAGACAGCCGCGTCAATGACCCGGTATATGGCAATAGGCTCACCCTCTATTACATGGGACTCATAACTTAAATAGTGAAAAGTGGGTGTTACATTGTACAGAGGTATTGAGTGCCGTAATGTGCACCTCTGCCTATCCCTTCGGGGAAGAAAGGAGTGATGTTATGTTATCCTTACTATCCTTACTTCCTTACTATATATATTATATATATTAATATTATAAATCTGAAAATGAGTTTGTTTGTTTGTTTGTTTGTTCCACCTTCACGCCGTAACTACTCAACCGATTGCTTTGAATTTTTGCAGACGTAAAGTTAGAAGTCCGGATTAAATAATAGGGTACTTTTTAACGAGCGAAGCCGCGGGTAAAACGTAGTGAATGAATAAATCAAATATAATTCAACCTCGCGTTGGTTCATTCATGTTGCTTTTAAGAACCCCTTCAGCTTACGTCCCACATAGGCGTTCGATAAACGTATGCGCCGCGCAGACACCGCGCTGGCGTCGCGTACACATTAAAAAGTAAAACATAAAAGTAATATCTTTAGTTTCAGATGAAACTGATACACGAACTATCAAAGTATCACAACTTTTGGGGAAACAAGAAACTTTACTCAGTGGACTGATGAAGAACACAAGGTAGTACAAACATAGCTTCGTTATTATTATTATTTTTTTATGGCATAAGCCGGTAAACGAGCAGACGGATCACCTGATGGTAAGCAATCGGCGTCGCCCATGGACACCTGGACCACCAGAGGCGTTACAAGTGCGTCACCGGCCTTTTGGGGATGAGGATCGTTGGGGATTCAGGGATTGGGGAGATTGGGGAAGGGGAAGGTAATTGGGCCTCTGGTAACCTCACTCACACGACGAAACACAACGCAAGCGTTGCTTCACGTCGGTTTTCTGCTCGGTTGTGGTATCACTCCGGTCGAGCCGACCCATTCGTGCCGAAGCATGGCTCTCCCACACTTAGTGTTACAGTACTTAGTGGATGTTGTGAATGTATTTGATTATCATTTTCAGGTATTCTGTATCTGTGGCAGCGTTCACAAATGCTGGTTCAGGACCCTTCTCCTTGCCAGTCTTTCAAGATACGAGAGAAGGAGGTATTTTTGGATTACTTAAACTTGATTTTAATCTTAATCTTACAACTTTGCTGACTGCCTCGTTGGCCGAGTGGTCGCAAGTGCGACTACCGGGCAAGGGGTCTCGGGTTCGATCCCGGGTTGGCACAAGTATTACTGGATTTTAAAAAAAATCTCAGTAGTAGCACGGAGTCTAGAATTGTGTCCGGTATATGGCAATAGGCTCACCCCCTATTACACGAGACTCATAACATAAATAGTGAAAAGTGGTTGTTACATTGTACAGTGCCATTAAGTGCCGTAATGTGCACCTCTGCTTACCCCTTCGAGGATAAAAGGCGTGATGTTACGTATTATACATGTATTATTTATACTAACTTATAATGAAGAAAGACTTGATTGACGCTGGTGACAGACTAGTCTTGAATTGATTGAAGATGACTCTATTCTTAAAACATTAACTATTCTCTTTTAACTCTTAATGACAACTATTCTCTGTTTCCAGCACCAGAACAAGCTCCATCTTCAGTGGAGTGTACGGCTGTCTCCTCTACATCATTGAGGATTGGTTGGCAGCCCATCGGTGTACCTGGACAGGGTAGCTCCCTTGTAGGGTACACCGTACTGTTTGCTACTGAAGGTAAGTGAAAATAAACTACAGCTTTGATAGTGATCTCATGATGATCAGAAATTAACTTCTTAATCCCCGATTATGAAAAATCCACCGGAGAGCGGTCACCGGTGAACGCTTGGGGACTTGATAGTATAAATACTATCAACAGACGAATATAGGGGTCATCCATAAATTACGTCATACGAAGTTTCATGATTTTTGCCCCTCCCCCCGTCCTTACCACAGCTAGTCACATTTGTGAGACTTGCCTAGTGTGACGTCACATTTTGCAGAATTACGTATGTATAAAAATTAATGAATGAAAACAGCGGTTCCGAAATCAGTTTTATTTCTATTTAAATTACTTTAAACAATATTAATGTCGCAGTAAGATAGATAAAGCCGTAATATAGTTATATCCCTAGGGATATAATTATATACCGGATCATAGTTATACGAAAGCGATTCATTACTATCTCACTAGGGATATAGTTATAAAACGGACCAAGTTTAGTGATATACTTATATTACTAGATTAAGTTCAGTGTTTTAAATATATTAGGGTTTGTTTCAAAAAAGTCATATTGTTTCATATTGTCATCATATTGTAGTGTATTAAAGTTTATTTATTCATAAACATTTTTGAAAAATGAAAAAAAAACACAAATTTGTGAGACTTTTTTGAGACAGACCCATTACTTGATTAAGCTTAGTGAATTAGAAATCTACCATAGGTATATAATTAAATAAAACAAAGTTTATTGGTTTTATCTTTATTAATAAATCAACTTTAAGTGTCTTGAATGTTGACTGACTTTATAATACTTTGTGAATGTGTGTGTGAAAAAAAAGTAAAAAGGTAATATTATTACGGGTAATAGTAATAATATAAAAATATGATTGTTTTAATTATTTAAAACAATCATATTTTTTAGAATTTAACACCGAACAACTATTCTCGGCCGACTGACTGCGGGCTAAGGAGCGCGTAAACACAACGAACCCCTCTCCCTCCGCGGGAGAGGTGGCGCGTCGCCTGCGCCGCACACTCCGAAAGCTATTTCACTAAACTTAATCTAGTAATATAAGTATATCACTAAACTTGGTCCGTTTTATAACTATATCCCTAGTGAGATAGTAATGAATCACTTTCGTATAACTATGATCCGGTATATAATTATATCCCTAGGGATATAACTATATTACGGCTACATCTATCTTACTGCGACATTAATACCAAATCAAACAAAACAAAAAACATTAATACAATTATGTTTCGTTTTTTATAATAGTTTTGAAATGTGACATCACAAAATTTAGGACCCCCCCTCCCCCTTGTCACACAATGTTACATTTCGTCGACCCCCTCCCTACCCCTTAACGTGTGACGTAATTTATGGACGGTCCCATACATGAAAAGACTGATGACTGTTGATGAAGCGAAAGAGGTTTGTAAGAATCGTAGCAATTGTGAGGCGTGAGGTAATGTACTACTTTCATTTTTGAAAAAAAAAAATTAAGTCCTAAACTCCTTACCCTTTCCTACACTCCGAAATATCTCACCTATCATGACCTCCAATTTTATAGCCCTAAGGGCCGAAACACATAACCGCGTTGCGTCGCCTCAACGCTAAAATCGGCAGTTTGCGCTCGTTCCAGTATAGCAGAGTAATATCTTCTTAATAACAAGTAAGCAATAAGTTTTTCACGATGGTCCATGGCAGAGACACGTCTATCCACAATAACTATCCAACATAGCTATAAATAATACTGATTTTTTACAGAAGCAGCGTGGCAAAATCAGACATCTTTGCATACTGAGCTCTACTTACAAGGCCTGCTGAAGTACACAAATTACACCGTCAAGGTCGCCGGCTTCTCCAACTTCGGAGCTGGTCCATACTCCTATCCAATTGTTTGCGCTACTCTGCAGGACGGTGAGTTGACAATTTTTTATTTGGACAAGCCAGCCGCATCTTTCCTATACCCCTACAACTCCTATAAACCAGCAGCTGTAGCCAAATGCCATTTAGCGCTTGTCTACTTGTAGAGTAGAAAACCAAATTATATGGAATTGACGTAAATTTTGACACTTGTCAGTGTAATCCCCATACATTTTGATTTCTACTCTCTCTGTAGACAAGCGCTAAAGTGGCGTTTGGCTAAAAGCCCAGATTCTACAGTAGATGCAACCATGACAACATTGGAACACTGAAGTCCGGCGCGTCCCAGGGACATGAATAGCTGTCTTGGTCCCGCAACGAAATAAACCATATCATACTAGCTTCTGCCCTAATGCATCTAATGAGCTTTCTCCTAATAATAACAAATACAATAAAAAAAGAATTAGTGAAATCGGTCCGGCCAACGCGTGATGCCGTGACCAAGGGAAAAAGAACTATAGGATTAAATTTGAGCTGTTGGAAAGTACTCGTCAATTGTCTAATCAAGTACTTTATTACATTGCAATTCGTACTAATTATCTTCTCGGTAATTGCTCGAAATACGAAATACTTTTTCCTTTAGGGAAAACTGATAGGTACTTATCGTTCGTATTACGGTATATTAATGTTAAATTATAACAATGGGCGTAGTTTCCCAATGAAACCTAATAATATCATTTGCAATGTGGGATGGCCACGAAGTACCAGATGGTATCAGCTACAGTCATTCGAGGAAGCCTATGTGAGGTTGTGCATGTCAATTGGCTAATACAATAATGATAAATTTCATAAGATGACTATCTCTTATGATTTATTTTTAACATACATAACATCATGCCTTTTATCCTCGAAGGGGTAGGAAGAGGTGCACATTATACCACTGTACAATGTAACACCCATTTTTCACTATTTATGATATGAGTCCCATGTAATAGGGGGCTAGGGGGTGAGGCTATTTGTTATGAGTCCCATGTAATAGGGGGTGAGCCTATTGCCATAACTGTTACTGTCAATACCGGGGAAAAACATAAACGAGTAACCCGTTGTTAGGTGAGTACCCAGAAAATAATGTTTGAACTATTTTACCTTTCCTAGAACCTAGAACGTCAAAGTCAAAGTCAAAGTCAAAGCATTTATTTCAATTAAACCATGTTTGGTACTTTTGAAACGTCAACAAATACAAAATAAATAATAGTCTGTCAGTCATTCCGTCAGTGAAACTAGGTGAAGCTAGGTGCTCATTCCAAAAAGTAGATTCGAGTGAAGAAGAACGAGCAAGAAACTCCATTCGTTACTCTTTTTAAAAAAACGCAAAACCTAGTTTGGTTTGGTTAAACAACATTCACCTTAACTATATTATATTACCTATAACATTAGTTATATGGGCATAATAGGGGGAATTATTTTTAACTGACTTCAAAAAGAAAAAGAATTATGTACCCATTTTGACCTGTATGTTGTATTTATCATTTACTAGCCACCCGCCCTAGCTTCGTTTACATTAAATAACTTAGTACTAAACAATAAAAAGACAAAATGTATTAAATTTGTTTTGCCAAATGTTAAAAGCAACGATTGTGACATATTATTGAATGGTGAGAAATTAGAGTTTGTAAAAGAGACAACTTTCCTGGGAATTACTGTAGACGACAAATTGCAATGGGGTCCTCACATTACATCATTAGCGGGACGATTGAGCTCTGCAGCTTATGCTGTCTGGAAGATACGACAGTTAACTGACATAGACACGGCAAGACTAGTGTATTTCAGTTACTTTCATAGCATTATGTCGTATGGCATCTTGCTGTGGGGACACGCTGCTGACATTGAATCTATCTTTATCTTACAAAAGCGCGCCGTCAGAGCTATCTACAATCTAGGTCGTCGCGAATCACTCAGAGAAAGGTTTAAGGAGATCAACATTATGACCGTTCCATGTCAATTTATTTATGAAAATATTATGTATGTTAGGAAAAACCTACAGTTATTTGGTAAAGTGTCGGACAGACACCACTATCAAACTAGACATGGGAATAGATTAAGTCAGCCAATTTCGAGATTAGCGAAAGTAAGTAAGTCGTTCATGGGATTCTGTGTTAAATGTTATAATAAGATACCAGGCGATGTACAACAACTAAATGAATCGAAATTTAAATTATGTATAAAGAAAACTTTATGTAGACAAGCATATTACAAACTTAATGAATATATAGAGGATAAAAATGCTTGGATGCAGGCTAGTCCGGCTCCACAGGATAACTAAAAACACTTGTTTTAATGAAATCGTAAATAATACAGCCATATTGCTAAATTGTATATTGTTTAACTTAGATAACCATTGTAAATGTGAGAGCCCTGTAATTAACTTAATATTAAATTAGATTAGTAGATTTCATTTGTGTCAGCTTGGAGTTGTCATGCTCACTCAAAGGTCTCATTGGCGGTGGCGCGTGCAGTGGATCGCTCGATTCCCTACAATATGGTTGAGTTGGGCGGTGCTGGTGTACGTGTCATGTTCGTGAACGGGCGCCGTCAACTGGGACTGGTCAGCTCCAGACTGTATTACTGTCCTTAAGGTTATTTTCTTTTTTGATCACTTTGACTGGATTTTAGTGTTACATTGTTCTCGCACAATCCAAACAGCAAAACTATGTAACTAGTAAATTGTATTGTGAACCTGATTGAAAAAGAGTAACCTATGGAGTTTCTTGCTCGTTCTTCTCCATAGGAATCTACGCCTTGGAATGAGCAAATAGCTTCACTTTAAATTTTTGTTTTTGTTGACGTTCAAAAGTGCCATTCTGGCCTAATTGAAATAAATGATTTTGACTTTGACTTTGACTTTGACTTTCGCACGGGTGCTATATGCATGTATTCTACATATAGACCTTATAAAGAATCACTCTATCTATTAAAAAAAATCGCATCAAATCCGTTGCGTAGTTTTAAAGATCTAAGCATACATAGGGACAGACAGATGGCGGATAGCGACTTTGTTTTATACTATGTATGTATGTTTGTGCGCGAATATCTCGCGATTGGTTGAACCGATTTTGGGCAAGGGGTCTCGGGTTCGATTCCCGGGTCGAGCAAAGTATTACTGGGCTTTTTCAAAAATCTTACTAGTAGCACGGAGTGTGGAATCCTACCCGATATATGGCAATAGGCTCACCCCCTATTACATAGGACTCATAACATAATGCATAAAAGTGGGTGTTACATTGTACCTCTACAGTGGCATTAAGTGCCATAATGTACTTACACCTCTGCCTACCCCTTCGGGGATAAAAGGCGTGATGTAATGTTATGTAAAAATAAAAGTCAGCCCATACCCTGCCGGTATACAAGTTTCATCGGTAGTTTCAGCGTGATTAATAATAAATAATAATAAAAATATGTTTATTCACAAAAAGCATCACATTACATATTTATATTGACGGACATCATCAACACCCACACAAAGAATCTTTCACATTTGTAATATTACACAAATACTACAAATTGTACAATAAATTATTCCCATTGTCACAGTGCCAGGTCCACCGGCGGACATCAAAGTCCTGGTGCTATCCTCGTCATCACTACTCGTCAGCTGGAAAAGACCTCTTCATCCAAACGGCGAACTCCTGCATTATACTGTCTACGTGAAGCCTACGTCCAGGTCAGTTTCAATTGTATGTTGTAGTCCTTAAGATTCATATTTGAATACCAGTAGAGTTATGACTGAAAGATGATGAGTATTGAATGCTTAATGAATGTTATGTATCAAAACGTATTATGCGCTTTAAATGTTATTAAGTTGGTGCAATGTGCACTTATGGTATGGTAGATGTCTTGGAGAACCTAACGGGTAACCGGGGCTCCGGCTCGACGTGCAGGAGAAGGAACGGGGTGGTTTTTAGTCAGTAAGAGTCTGACACTCCCTTCCGCCTCACCCAGGCGGGAGCAGTCATTCGATGATTTTCCCCCCTTAAAAAAAAGGTATGGTAGCTAAAAAGAAGCATCTGGGCAAAAATTTACAAAATTATTAATTGCCGTTAGACAATTTTAAAACTACTAAAGTTTGAATAAATCTATAGTTCTAATAAGCACTACCTACTTCTATTGTTTTAACTAAAACCAAAAAAATACCAGGATATACTATTACTATTTAGTTTTACTCAGGTCTACTGGAAGAAATTCCAACAGGAATAAGTAGCACCTTTGTACTCTTATTTTATATATGTGTTATCCTCTGTGCTGTCTGTGTGTACATAAATTATTAAATAAATAAATAAATATTTACTTTGCATGTGTGTGTAAATAGTAAAGTCAAGCGTCTAAATCTTTATTTTGTAGTAATCTTTGTATGAGACCAGATAACAAGCACAATGACTATTTGAAAAAATCAAGTTAATGCCCTAGGTTTTGCGAATAGTGTTATCTATTAATTATTTCGAAGTTAGGCGTAAAAATTGAAAATGTTCCAAATTGTGGATGTTACGCCATCTAGCGACAAAATGGCAGTTGAAATCATCATCCATCCACCTTAAAATCAAAACCAATGCCTGCAACTTCTGACAAACACACTAAAAATACCACAACTTCTTTACATATCTCACAAGTGGCTCTACAGGATTATCACACTTAATAACTAAACAATACCTTATACAATTGCATATCTACAGCATGACCCTTTAACCGCAGCAATGGTCCACCACAGACATTCCGCATAGACTCGGAAGGTCGTTCGACGGCTGAGGTGAAGGACCTAGCCCCTGGGAGAACTTATGAAGCTTGGGTCACAGCTAGCACGGCGGCAGGAGAAGGCAGTGCTACCAGAAGGGTGTCTCATACTCCTACACATAGAGGTACGTTGAACTGAGGTTAAGGAAAATATTTGTCTGAAAGCGCAAACGTAAATGCGGATTTCGAGTATTGAAATGGAGTGTTGTTCCCTGTCTTTCCTGACGAATTTGTTACTACGTTAAACACGATAAAAACGTAATGCAATAATTTGGTTTAATCGCTACCTATTAATTTTTATTTATAGGCACACTAGTTTTTACCCGCGGCTTCGCTCGCGTCACAAAAGGATAAAAAGTAGCCTATGTGACATATACCAATACACACAGCGCCATCTATACCAATAATTTCGTTTTCCCTCGAGAATATCTAATTTTTCCGGAATAAAAAGTACCCTATTATTTAATACAGGCTTCTAACTTTACGTCTGCAAAAATTCGAAGCAATCGGTTTAGTAGTTACGGCGTGAAAGCGGAACATACAAACAAACAAACAAACTCACTTTCCGATTTATAATATTAGTAGGTACATAGTTTACAAAACATAAAAAATATCGATTTCGAGTCGACAACTTATATCCGCAAAATTCTGATTACGGAGATTATTTCGTTTTATTAATATTCATTTTAATGACACTGACAGACAAACCGCAGCCGCCATCTTGAGTAGACAATAAACGTTCCGTTTCATACTAGCTCTCAAATACGCCTCGCCAATCAACACGTTGTAGCGTCAAAGAAGTATAAATTAACAAGAGACATGAATAATTTTACGCGAACGAAGTCGCGGGTAACAGCTAGTATTTATATAATTTGAGTTAAGTGTTTTAAAAATTCAAACTGATTCATAAAGAAAATTAACACAGAAGAAAATTAAAAAAAAAATTGGTTGCCTGTAAAGTCGGTATACGAGCGAAAGTTTTACGTGACAACGACTTTGAGTGGTAAAATATTATGTCTGTCTCACTCGCTCTTAGGAGGGCTAACCATGCCCGAGTGGAAGGGACGCGTGCCTCTCACTCGCTCTCATTGTGAGCGTATAACGTGAGCGGAGCGTAACGCAGTTTCTTGAAGTGTCACCCGGCAAACCAATTTATAAGACGTTGTCACGTCAAAATGCTGACTTATTGTCAATCTTCTTAGTCGTTCTCTTCATTACTGAAGGTCGTGTCTAGTCTGATGCACGTGTTACTTAATGCACAACCCTCCTCTAAACGCCCCTGTCCTCTGCGGTATCGCTTGTGGAACTGTCAGGCCGGTGAGGTTTTCTACAGCATCCAACCACCGGGTAGGTGAGCGACCACGAGATCTTTTCCCGTAAACCTGACCAACAACCACAAGCTTCTCCAGATTGTTGGGGTCTCTACGCGCAATGTGGCCAGAATAAGTTAGTATTCGCTGCAGGCATTTTTTTTTTTTTTACGGTGGACAGCCTCGTAGTAATTCCGCTGTCCTTGAGAATGGAGACATTGGTGTAACGAGCGGTCCAAGGAATACGGATACGTCTCCAGCACCACATTTTGAAGGCGTCAATTTTTGTTCGCTCAGTTTTTCTAAGGGTCTGGACCTTAAGGAATTCGGGGCCATAAAAGAAAATAGAGAAAACCAGCGTACACATCAGCCTCATTTTGGTTTTTCGACATGTTATGTTTCGATCCTTCCAATATCTTGGTGAGTTTCGTTATTGCTGATTTGAACATCTGGATTCTCTATCTGATCTCCCCCACTATCGATATGAGAGCCCAGACCACAAACTTCAGGTCTCAGTTCATGTGAGCGAGTGTGACCCCATTCTGTCTACGACGAACACTTTGTTCTTGTTTTCGGTACGGTGAGACCAACCAGTTCGCTCTCCTTCTCCACTCTGGCAATCAACTCAGCCATCTCACTCTCGAACGATGCAAACAACTATCATTCACATACCTTAGATTGCTGATTCTCCTGCCAAAAACAGACACTCCACGCTCGTACCCCGCCAGAGCTCGTTTCATTATGTATTCTCCATATATATTAAAGAGAAAGGGAGACAGGATACATCCTTGCTGGACTCCCTTCCGAGGCCTAAATGGAAGCGACAGGACGTTGTTCACTTTCACCACGTTGCTTCCATCCCTGTAAAGATTAGCAATGAGAGCCACAAGGTCTTCCGGCACTCCCGTTTCCCCCAGGATTTTCCGCATCTTTCACAGTCAAAGGCTTTTGAGTAATCAACGAAGCACATGAATATTGGGATGTTATTGTGAATGTGGGTGACTATTTACTACAAAAATTTAGCTACGTCAATCATTTAAGAGCACACAAATTGGAGTGGGGTAGCGTATCCGAAATCAGTCAGGATTGGTTGAATTTTAAACGTGTTTTCTAACTGTTCCAGTGGTGGCGGGAGTGGCTTCTTTAGGTGGGGTGGTGTCAGTAGGAGTGGGCAGCTCCCTGCTCCTGGTGTGCCAGTGCGTGGGCGCGCCTCCGCCGCGCACGGTGTGGTACCACAAGCACAACATCATCACGCACCATCCCAGGTTCACCAGAAACCATGACGACAGCTTGTTGATTAATAGTAAGTCTATTTATTATTTAAGATGATTTAACCCTTTGAGTACCGTCATTATAGACACAATTAAAGAACAATAGGTTGCGGTCACCGGTGTCCTCGCGGTGTTTGACAGTTTAATACTGCTATAATGCGATGTTGATGATCAAATGAGAGTCCTGACAAATATGTGTGGAGTAAAATTGAGTGATCGAGTGAAAATAGTGTTACCTATTAGAGAAAGATGTGGATTGAAAGATGATGTAGTGACAAGGATTGAAAAGGGAATGTTACGCTGGTTTGGACATGTAGAAAGGATGGATGAAAGCTAATTTACGAAAGAAGTATGCCGAGCGGATTTGAATAGGGCCATCGGTAGAGGGCGCTCTAGACCAGATACCCTTAACCGACGAGCATGCATGAAAATACTGATGACTGTTGAGGAAGCGAAAGAAATATGCAAGAACCGTAGCAATTGGCGTTCCATAGTCTATCTCTACTCTTGGGAAATAGACGTGAAATTATGTATGTGTACATAATTATTATAAAAGGTATTGCTCTTTGATATAACGATTTTAAATACTCACATGATTAGGGGAAAACTGTTACTTTAATACGATATGACGTCATTCCATTAACATAATCAAATTAAACATGAGTTTTTTAACTTTCCTATCCTCGTTTCAATATTTTTGCGGTTAATATTAAACGAAGGCCTAATCATTTAAATAGGGACGATGACAGAGTATGAAAATTAAAAATCTAATTAGTCCGTCAGTTAGATAACGAAAACATATTAGACACGTATTTTTTTATTTTGCCGTATAATAAAACAATACTTAGATAAAACGAATCAAAGTTTAGGGCTGGGAGGTAGCTACGTCATTTTAGAGTAAAAAAAGTGACGTCATGCGATATTTCAAATCAATATATCTCCGAACCTATTCGTTTCCGTAAGAAAAGAAAAAATACGTGTCTATTTTTTTATTAAAATCTACCAGACGGATCAAAATAAAAGTCAGTCATCTACCCTATTCTCAGTATTATTTCTCCATAATATAGGTAGGTAGTTAAATAAATTTAGACGTAACGTAGGCCAGTTAGCTTTGGGTTATATTCTTTTTTATGGGATCAGCCTGTAAACGAGCAAACGGATCACCTGATGGTAAGCAATCGACGTCGCCCATAGACACTAGGAACACCAGAGGCGTTTCAAGTGCGTATCGGTATTTTCATCATCACCAATGGTGTCTCATATGACTGATATGAATCAGCCATAAGACGCCCACTGATGAACATAGGCCTCCTCCAAAAAAAAAAGAAAGACTTTCAGATGGTTGGTTTTTAGAAGGATACGAATTTGAGGATTTTTGGGGATTCGGGGATTATAGTTGGTTCGCGTTAAGAATGCAGTGAATCGTCAGTGCAACTGTAAGATAAAGGTGTATTCACAGTTGTGCAAAATTCAAACGAAGTATATTTTAAAATATTAAGTTTAGTAGATTTGTAAAACAACACTTAAAAGTTTAAAATCAGTTCAAGGCTAAGCTGACGAAAAATGATTGACTGCATTTTTAACGCGAACGACTGACTGCATTTTTAACGCAAACGACTGACTGCATTTGCAAATACTACAGGGAGATTCGGAAGGGGAATAATTGCGCCATCAATGCACCTCCCATTGAGGACGTGGCTGATAATTGTAGAGCACCTTATACCTTATATTGACTGATTGTGAATTTCATTAATACGTACAATGGTTGAGACATACCCAATATTTGCATGCTCAACGGGTAGAACAAAGAGATACAATATGTAACAAAAATAAATAACACCTTAGGCACTAATTATGTACTACACCTCTGTTCAGCAAATAAAGACATTTGATTTGATTTTGATCAATTTAATTTTATATTCTTTCCTTCCAGACATAGACCAATCTCTAAGTGGGAACTATACCTGCCTAGCAAAGAACCTCTACGGGTCTGACTCAGTAGAATACACGGTGATTGTTCTACCTTTACCTGAAGCTCCTATACTTCGAGCAACTCCGTACAAAGACTCGATACTGGTGGAATGGGAGCAGCCATACTATTCTGTCAGTAATAGGAGTTCTAGTCAGAAGATTAGTAAGTATAATTAGGATGATGACAGGGTATGAATATTAAAAATCTAATTAGTCCGTAAGTTAAGTAACGAAAAAATATTAGACACGTATTTATTTTGTCGTATTATAAAGCCATACTTAGATAAAACGAATCAAAGTTTGGGAGTGGGGGCTAAAACGTCATTTCTACGTATAAAATGTACATAGAAGTGACGTCACGCGACATTTCAAATCAATATATCGTCGAAAGTATTCGTTTCTGTAAGAAAATAAAAAATACGTGTGTAATGATTTAAAATAATCTACCAGACGGACATTAAAATAAAAATTAGGCATCTACCCTTTTCTGAAGTGGTTATTAATTATACCTTGTGTTAAACTGGATTAAGAACTATATCAATTGGATTAGAAATGTCTTGTATAAATTCTTGAAGAGTACTCTGGATTTACATTTATACTATCTTTGAAATAAAGAAGTAGTACTAGTTTTCAATGAATTAATGTGTGGATAATTCTCTCAGGAGCTCAATTCAAATATTAGAGATCAATGAACATTATAATATACCTAGTTAAGTTTTATCTAGTTATATTTTCACTTGACTTTTCTACATTATTCACCAGTAAAAGAGCAAACATGCCAAAGAAACAAAAGAAGCTTTAAACACACCAGAGAAAAATCCACCAAATATTATTTTGTTGCCTTTCCGCTAACGACTTAAAAATCACATCGATCAAAATATTTTATCACGTACAGGTTACAGTCTGACATGGAAGGAAGCCAACAGTCCATGGAGAGAGGCGTGGCCAGCGAACAAATTGCCCAACCTATCGGGAGTACAGAAACATGCTCTAACTGGCCTCAAGTGTGGCACTAAATATTCTTTGCGCATTACTGCCACGAATAAGGTTGGAACATCACAACCTGCTTATTTGGATGTCAGTACTTTGGGTGGAGGTAAGTTGGGATCCCAGGAGAATAGACCAATATAAGATTTTTATGCTCTGTTGTGGAGTTTTTGTAGATGAAATTTGAATTGTAATTATCAGCCTCTTTTATTAATTAAAAAGAAATCGTTAATGAAGTTTACCCAAGTTTACCTAATGTCTTAAAGTTTTTGTTCGCTATCCATCATCATCATACCATCATGCTTTTTATCTCCGAAGGGTTAGGCAGAGGTGCACACAGAGATAACACCCACTTTTCACTATTTATGTTATGACTCCCATGTAATAGTGGGTAAGCCTATTGCCTGCTGCCTATCGAACTTGCTTGCGGGACTGCGTCGTTGGCCGAGTGGTCGCAAGTGCGACTATCGGGCTAGGGGTCTCGGGTTCGATTCCCGGGTCGAGCAAAGTATTACTGGGTTTTTTAAAAATTCTCAGTAGTAGCACGGAGTTTGGAATTGTGCCCGGTATATGGCAATAGGCTCACCGCCTATTACATATGGGACTCAGTGTAAGTAATAGTGAAAAGTGGGTGTTATATTGTACTGTGCCATAATGTGCACCTCTGCCTACCCCTTCGGGGATAAAAGGCGTGACGATGTTATGTGTTATGTATCATGGTTGATTTCGTGTCCTCGTGCCTTAAAAGATAATGGCAAGGCATCCTTTTATAGTTGTAATTAAATTACATTTCAGTTCCAATACCACCATCAACAAACGACTGGTTATGGAGCAACTCCTCACATATATACGTGCAACTAGCTGGCTGGGACCATGGAGGCTGTGCGCTGAGGGTCTTAGATGTGGAGTATAAACAGCTTGGAGGCAGAACCTGGACTAGAGCTCATAATAATATGGTAAGAGATTTACTTAAAAACCATTGTCTCGTATTTATAATACCTATCGTGAGACATACTAAATTGTTATATAGGTATAGGCATAGGTGTACAGCGGGGTAGTAGGTTTACGCTACAATATAGGCAGCAAAATAAATGGTTTTTCTTTCTATATTTCTTTCTTAACTAAAAATCGCGGGTTACTCACGTGAATGTACTGTAGCCGTGAGCCAGTAGGCTGCGCGACATCGCCGCGACCGCGCACGCTGCTCATGAGGAAGAACCATCTCTGTAGTTCGGAACTAGTAGAGCTTTTCTCAGTATATTCACGTGAGTAACCCGCGATTTTTAGTTTTTTTTTTAATTCACCCTTGTGTCCTTGATTGAGTGGAAGGGATCTCAATTTTAGAGGTTAGATAAAGTATAATCGATATATTCGTACTAAGACGGAGACTGACGTCAAATGTCTGTAAACAAACTACATTATATTATAAAGATTGAATTACATCTCGTCAATAGCGAAGGATTTATACAGTGCCAACTCTGCTTTCGATTAAGGATTATGTGAAGCACGCCATCTATTATTTTTAACAGTCATTAACAATAGATGTCGATATATACCTTCGAACTATGTATATTTTTTTAGTATTTCTTCTCGTTTACCTTGACAGCCCTACTCAGACCTCTCTTCATGGAGTCTCCAATCTTTATACCAAACGAAGATCCCAACATTTGCGATCTCAGACCTGACTCCTGGCACATGGTACCAGCTGAGAGTGACTGCTACCAATGAGGCTGGAAGCGTCACCACTACTTATAGTTATGCTACAAAGAATGAAGATGGAAGTAAGTTTGAATTTGATAAACGCGAATATTGTCCAATTCTGTATTGACATTATCTTCAATTGTCTTTAACCAATCTGTAAGTTAACAGAAATAGGGTAGTTTCCTAAATTTTATTTTTATGTCCATCTGGTGCAATGATTTAATACTTTAGACACGTATTTTTTCTTTTCGTTTCCGTTGCTTCCGTCCGTGCGTCACTGCAGGGGTGCCAACTGAAAACCAGTGTTGGGTACTTACTGTGCCCAGCTTACACTGAGTTGGCGAGCCCTTTCGTCGTGGACATGCTGCCACCCTGTTTCTTTTATTTTGCTTTTTTTTTTCAACGTTTTTTTATGCTTTCATTGTTGTTTTTTTATGTTTTTTATACTGTTTTCTTTTTTATGTTTATTTTTTAATGTTTATGTTGTGTGTTAATTTTCGGTGGTCCATGTCTGGTGGCGAACAAATTATTTTTCTTTCTCTTTCTTTCTTTTCTTACAAAATTAAATGCTTTCGGCGATATATTGATTTGAAATGTCATGTGACGTAACTACCTCCCACTTCTAAAGTTAACTTCATTTTATTTAAGTACTAGCTTTTACCCGCGGCTTCGGTCGCGTCACAAAAGTTTAAAAAGTAGCCTATGTGACATATACCAATACACACAGCGCCATCTATACCAATACTTTTGTTTTCCCTCGGGAATATCAAATTTTTCCGGGATAAAAAGTATCTTATTATTTAATCCAGACTTCTAACTTTACGTCTGCAAAAATTCAAAGCAATCGGTTTAGTAGTTACGGCGTGAAAGTAGAACAAACAAACAAACTCACTTTCCAATTTATAATATTAGTAAGGATAGTAACTTTATACGAGAAAATAAAAAAAACGTGTGTAATATTATTTCATTGTCTAACTGACGGACTAATTACATTTTTAATTTTCTTACCCTGGAAATTACCCTATTCCTTAGCACCCATTTTAATCTTCTATTTCGTTCTTCTTCAGGTGAAGTCGGTCCTCCATCGGAACTCTTCGACTTAAATATGCTGGTCATCATTTGCAGTTCCATTCTCCTCACCATCTGCCTTCTTAGTTGTATCTACATACTTATGAAGAGACAAAGGTAAGGTTACAGTTTCCACGTACTTATTCGAGGGGATACTCGACTAGTTACAAACTATAACAGGGATCATAACCATGATCAGTGACGGTCACGGTCACGGCTGGTGTGGCCTCGTGAAATCAACTGGTGGGGCTACAGCCCTTTATACAACAGTTTTAGGAAAAAAAATGTAATTTTTTGTAAGGGGGACAATCATCGAATGGCTGCTCCCGCCTAGGTGAGGCGGGAGAGAGTGTCAGACTCTTACTGAATTTTATGCTTCTACGAAAATAGTTTTAAAGTATGTGTTTCGAAACTGATATTGGTATTTTATTATGTATATGGATTATATCATTGAGCAAGCGTGGTGATTAATGCTCAAACCTTCTCCGTGTGAGAAGAGGCTTTGCTCAGCAGTGGGCATTTATAGGCTGTTGATGATGGATTATATATGGGATATTTTAGTAAACGAGCAGACGGATCACCTGATGGTAAGCAATTAACCAGAGGCGGTACAAGTGCGTTACCGGCCTTTTGGTGATTAGAAATTTGAGGATTCAGGGATTGGCAGATTGGGGAGGGGGATTTGGGTCTTCATTAACCTCACTTAGACAACGTTACTCAACGCAAGCGTTGTTTCACGTCGGTATTCTGTGAGGCTGTGGTAGCACTCCGGTTGAGCCGACCCATTCGTGCCGAAGCATGGCTGTCCCACACTTAAAACTGTAATATAATCCTAGTATAATCTGATATTTGTAGTGTTTTACCAATAAGATTGCTTTAAATATTAATTATATTAGAAAAGACGTTTTGAGGGGGGGATTTTGAGGGGGGGAAGATCATTCAATGACTTCTCCCGCCCGGGTGTCGCGAGAGGGAGTTTTACTGAGTAAAAACGACCCTGTTTCTACTCCCAAGTCTTCGAGCTGGAGCCCCAGTAACCCATTATGTCTTCGCGGCTCCGTATCGGCATCAGCCCTATTGGGCCCCATCCGTGGTGGTCTGATGGCTCGCTGAGGCACGCGCCGTACGCTCGAGTAAACACACGTCTGGATGAGTTTTTGTTAGGTACTAGTTAACACGTTAACTGCTGAATTAAAACCAAAATAAGTAATTTGGCCTCGACATGCAGTCTGGAAGTAAAATACTAAATGTTACCTAATGCCATACAATGCACTTGATTCATAAGGATATTTATTTTTGACTGAAACATACACATCTATATTAATAATTTCGTCAAGGGGTACGGTAGACTCGATCGAAACATTACCTGAATAACAAAACATAAAAAAATATCGATTTCGAGTCGACAACTTATATCCGCAAAATTCGGATTACGCCATTACGGAGATTATTTCGTTTTATTACTTCATTTTAATGACACTGAAAGACAAACCGCAGTCGTTGAGTAGACAATAAACGTTCCGTTTTATACTAGCTCTCAAATACGCATCGCCAATCAACACGTTGTCGCGTCAAAAAAGTATAAATTAACAAGAAATATGAATAATTTCACGCGAACGAAGTCGCGGGTAACAGCTAGTACTTTTATAAAATAACTCCTAATTTACGGTAGGTCCATCAACATGGTCATGCAACCACAATACCAAATACGTATCGACGGTGTTTGCATATAACATGTAATATACATATTAATAACTAGCTGACTCGGCAAACGTTGTTTTGCCATATAAATAATTTCGTAGACAGGTGAAAATTGAGGATTGTATGTATTTTTGTATGTTGTATCATAAAAAAATAGAAATTAAAAATTTTGACTAAATATTTAAAAAAATAATTAGGTTGGACTACCCCTAAGATTTAGGGGGATGAAAAATAGATGTTAGCCGATTCTCATAGATACCGGATAAGCACAAAAAATTTCATCAAAATCGGTCAAGCCGTTTCGGAGGAGTATGGCAACGAAAACGGTGACACGAGAATTTTATATATTAGATAGTAACTATTTAAGTGCCTATGTACATATGTCTGTATAATTTTAACAAATATATATAATTATAAAAGTGACATGACTTTCACAACAAATATTATAGGGATATATTTTAAATTTGTATTCACAAACCCGTTACACGATTTACTAAAGTATATACCTAGAGCATCACGCCTTTTATAGGGGCAGGCAGAGGTGCACATTACGGCACTTAATTCCACTGTACAATGTAACATCCACTTTTCACTATTTATGTTATGAGTCCCATGTAATAGGGGGGTGAGCTTACTGTCATGTACTGGGCACAATTCCAGACTCTGTGCTACTATTGAGATTTTTTTTAAAAGAGCCCTGTAATTTTTTGCCTGTCCCGGTAATCGAACCCAAGACCCCTTGCCTAGCAGTCGCATTTGTGACTACTCGGCCAACGAGGCAGTCGTGTTACGTTGGTCAAAGTTGACCGCATTGGCAGTCATTGTGTTAAAATATTAACTACTTACGAATCCAATCACTATAGGTACCCTATATTATATATATTTTATTTACATAAAACTATAATTATTGGCCACTTTCGAATTATATTTATCCTGTAGGTAGTGAAAGTTCAAATCATGTTTAAATGAATAACGTATTATAAGGTTAACTTTTCTTTGCTTTATATATATATATAAATAAGCTTTGGCACGAATGGGCCGGCTCGACCGGAGTGATACCACGGCCTCACAGATAACCGACGTGAAGGAACGCTTGCGTTGTGTTTCGTCGTGCGACTGAGGTTACCGGAGGCCCAATTACCCTCCCCTTCCCCAATCTCCCCAATTCCTGAATCCCCAACGATCCTCAAACTCCTAATCCCCAAAAGGCCGGTAACGCACTTGTAACGCGTCTGGTGTTCCAAGTGTCCATGGGCGACGCCGATTGCTTACCATCAGGTGATCCGTATGCTCGTTTACCGGTTTATGCCATAAAAAAAATATTTCAAAAACTATTTTAACAACATATTAATAAGATTTAAATTGAATTAAAAACAACTTAAAATATAAATAACTAAAACTAATATATTTACACCTTAAAAAGAGTAATAATAATAAAACGCTATCTTAAGGCATCAAAAAAAATTAATTTAATAATATATTTAATTTCAGGACTGGCAACTTAACAGAATACCGAGACTCTATAACCGTAGACAATAAATCAGAGAGCGGGAACCTGACGGCGAATACGTCACACACCAATTTGGCAAATGTGAAGGAAAACGCAATCAACGCACAGAATAGAATATACAGCGCTCCTATACATCTGAGGAATAATACCAAGCATGGTAAGATATAATATTCACTATATTTTATTACTTACTAGCTTTTACCAGCTCGCGTCACAAAAGGATAAAAAGTAGCCTATGTGACATATACCATTACACACAGCGCCATCTATACCAATACTTTTGTTTTCCCCCGGGAATATCAATTTTTTCCGGAATAAAAAGTACCCTATTATTTAATCCAGACTTCTAACTTTACGTCTGCAAAAATTCAAAGCAATCGGTTTAGTAGTTACGGCGTGAAAGCGGAACAAACAAACAAACTCACTTTTCCATTTATAATATTAGTAAGGATGCATCTATAACCAGTGATACTATTGGATTATAGTCCTTCCCTACATAAGAAGGTAACTAGATAAGCCAATACCACGTCTGCAAGGCGTGTTGAAGATCGCAGTTAGAAAGGTTCAGGTTTATCAAAGAGTCCTACTACCAAGAGGCTTACCCTTAAATCCAATTTCAATCGATCGACATTGGTATTGTGAAATTTCGTACTCTTGAGTTCAACACTAGCGCCCATTGCATCCGTATTGCGTGGATATTGAATGAACTAAATGGTATTGAGTTTGGCTTTATATTCCGTACTCTATGGGCTATTTTAACAGGTACCAGGGTTGTCTAGTTTTGACATTGAATCATTATTGAGATTTTATGGGGTTGAAATTGCATTGACATTGAGATTGACTTCAAGAGTAAGCGCCCAGGGCCTTAGACTTCGCTGGTTCGGGGCCCTGGTGAAATATTTCTTTTTTTAACATTGCCCCCACACTAGGATTTTTTCCCGTGGGTGTATTCTGAAAAAACTGGCAGATTCGATTCAAACATAAGTTGTCTCTTATCATGTTATTTAGTTTTTACCTGGGTACGTATGTATGTGTGTATGTATGTATGTATATAGTACTATTATATGATATAAGTATTGGATGTATGTGTACATGTATATGTATGACTATATATAAAAGTATCTAAGTACTTAAGTATTTATATATAGTTATTTATTTACAACATTTGCTTAGTCACCTGCCACTTTCATCTCTGCACCACCTTAAGGTCGACTGTGAGACAATGCCCAAGGCATTAAGTCCGCCTGTACATTTGTTATTCTACTAAGTATTAAATAAATAAAAATAAATATTAAGAATAAGAATAAGAATAAGAACGTTTATTTGCACGAAGTATGGTAATTACAGGTAGTAATAATTATAAAAAATAGTCCCACATACATTTACATATTCTTAAACATGTTTACATACACGTCACACCGAGACCGGAAACGACAATTTTATTTATGATTTACACATAGATTTGGTCCGTGCGGGAATCAAACCCGCTGCGTAGCAACCAGTTGTCATTCAACGTGTAGCGAGTGTGTGTCTTAGGCTTGTGTAGTTCGCGAACGAACTAGTTCAAAAGAGCGCTCCCACATTCAAAATATGCGAACTAGTTCACGTCATTCCCAACTCCTTAGTTCCTTAGTTCGTATTTCAAAGTACAAGTACAAGGATTGTGAAGTCGTTTATGTGTATAGTCTATGTTGAAGACCGAACTAAAAAATGCGATAACATATTATGATCTCACATGAAAAGTCATTATTATTAAATTAATAAGTTTACTGTGTGTTAATTTTAATTATTTTTAGTAGAGGTATATATTAGTTGAATAATAATTGATTAAGTGATTAATTAATTATTTATTATATAAGTTTATACTTAGTTAGATTTAAATAAAACAAAAAATAATAAAAGTTGTCTATTAAAAGCATTATAATTTTTCTTATTTCTGTAGTTTGTTAGTATATATTATAAATATTTCATTGCGTGCAGGAACTTGCATCAAAACTAGGGAGCGATTTGGCTGCCAGTGCCTTCCTCGTTCGCGATTCATTCCAATTCCAAATCCAACTGAGAATCGGGAGCTGACGAACTAGGGAGCGATTTGGCTGGCAGTGCCTTCCTAGTTCCTATGCGATTCATTCCAATTCCAACTCCAACTGGGAGTCGGGAGCTGACGAACTAAAAGAGCGAACTAGTTCGTTTAGGAGCGGCGAACTGATCTGAGTGATCTTAGTCGCGAACTATTAAGCACAAGACTAGTGTGTCTGTCGTAGAAATTGTCGATCTTACCAGGGTCCCTGAGGATGAGGGTCCCTGGTAGTACCCCTTGTGCCCTTATGGTAATGTATGTTTATGAATTATGTCAACTGCATTATTTCAACTGCATTATTTCACAGGCGTTATAACAAGTTAAAAAAATACAAAATCTAACCACTGAACATATCTCACCATGATAACTTTAGCAGATTCTGAAGAGTAAATAGCAGATGCCTTATATAGGAACGTAGAACACTGGCATTCTTTTAAATCTAATTAAGACCCGGTCTAGATTAGACTTAAAAAACTAATTGGAAAAGAGAAAAAGACTGCCTCGTTTGCCGAGTGGTCGCAAGTGCGACTACCGGGCAAGGGGTCTCGGGTTCGATTCCCGGGTCTGGTGGAGTATTACTGGGTTTTTAAAAATCTCATTAGTAGCACGGAGTCGAGAAATGTGCCCGGTATATGGCAATAGGTTCATTCCCTATTACATGGGACTCATAACATAAATAGTAGAAAGTGGGTGTTACATTGTACAGTGGCATTAAGTGCCGAAACGTACACCTCTGCCTAACCCTTCGGGGATAAAAAGGCGTGATGTTATGTTATGTTAAGAATCAAAATAAGTAATGCAAGTTCCTGCATGCGTTTAAATAAAAATGCATATCGATACGGAATCACGTATGTACCACTAATTGCTTAAATAATATAATTAGATTTCGATGCTAATATTTCCTTAATATACAGTTATGACGTCACAAGATAAGCTATCTTTGTTGCTAACGCTAATAATAAGCACAGTGAAGCGTCGGAAAAACCGATTAATTTATGCATTATGTCAACTGCATTATATCACAGGCGTTACAAGTCAAAAGCTACAAAAATCTAACCACCGAACATCTCACCTTTCAAATCTAATTAAGACTCAGTATAGACTAGACTTAAAAACTAATTGGGTAGTTTCCAGGATATCAAAATTGAAAATCTAATTAGTCCGTCAGTTAGATAATGAAAAAATATTAGACACGTATTTTTTTATTTTCTCGTATTAAGTTGCAATACTTAGATAAAATGGCGCTAAGTTTAGGAGTGAGAGGTTGTTACGTCATAAGGTGCTACAAAATGTGACACGCTGTGACGTCACACGATATTTCAAATTAATATATCGTCGAAAATATTTAATTTTGTGAGAAAAGAAAAAATACGTGTCTAAAGTTTTAAATTAATGTACCAGACGGACATTAAAATAAAATTTAGGAAACTACCCTATTGAGAAAGAGAAGAATTAAAGTAGGTAATGCAAGTTCCTGCATGCGTTTAAATAAAAATGCATATCGATACGGAATCACGTATGCACCACTAATTGCTTAAATAATATAATTAGATTTCGATGCTAATATTTCCTTAATATACAGTTATGACGTCACAAGATAAGCTATCTTTGTTGCTAACGCTTAAAATAAGCACAGTGAAGCGTCAGAAAAACCGATTATTTTTTTTGTATGAATGTCAATTAACTCGTCGAGTACCGGTTTTATAGACACAATTAAAGAACAATAGGTCGCGGTCACCGGTGACCGCTTGGTGTTTGACAGTTTAATGTGCATTAATTTATTCGATTTCCTCTGATTGATTACAAATGCGATAATTTATTACGTCAAATCTTTTAATTACAATTGTTGTTGTTACATTTCATTACCTCTTTATGATAGGTCTGTGTACTGAGCAGGTATGTGGCTTTGAAGTACACCTACTTCCTGAGCTGTATAACATAATAATAATGATTGACTGCCTAATTGGTCGAGTGATCGCAAGTGCAACTGCTGGGCAAGGGATCTCGGGTTCGATACCTGGGATTTTTTAAAACGATCTCAGTAGTAGCACGGAGTCTTGGTGCCCGGTATATGGCAATAGGCTCACCCCCTATTACATGGTACTCATAACATAAATAGTGAAAAGCGGGTGTTACATTGTACACTGGTATTATGTGCACCTCTTGCCCACCCCTTCAGGGATAAAAGGCGTGATGTTATATTATGTAGTAGATAATAAATAGTTCACCATTATTGGTAGAACAGTTCTAGTTATTATTATTTTGTCTAATAATACCTATAGGTATTATCAATAATATTTGTTTCCTTGTGTTTTACGTCACATTAATCGCCATTGTTAAAGATAATGCTAAACGCTGTTGCTATGCCATAGAATTAATTGTAACATAATAGTTAATGTTTTTATAATAACTATCGTGAGACATTCTGAATTAACTAAAAATCGCGGGTTACTCACGTAAATATGCCGAGAAAAGCTCTACAAGTTTCGAACCACAGAAGGACTCTTTCTCATGAAACTAATAGAGTTTTTCTCAAGATATTTTATAATAGAGTACTTGCCAACTAGTCAAATTTAATACTTTTTGTTTGAACTGTCAAAAACGACAGTTATCTTTAAAACGTTCAAAACGTTTATTTAGCGTCAAAATGCATACTTATTTTTTAAGTATTACCTAAAATCGCGGGTTACTCCCGTGCATATACTGAGAAAAGCTCTACTGGTTTCGAACCACAGAGGGGTTCTTCCTCATGAGCTGCGCGACGTCGCTGTTGGTAAAATACTAAAGTTATGTTAGTCATAAAATCAATAAATGAAAGTGTGATTATTTTTAAATATTTTATATAATTTTTTTTTATTAAGTATCCAATAGGGGATCGGACAACTTTTCAAAAACTATTTTAAACTAATCTTTATGGTTATTGTACCCGTAAACAATGTTTTTTTTTAAATTACTGCTTTATTATTATAGCAAAACATGTTTCAAAATACATAATTATTTTAAAATGGCCGCGAAACATCGCGAAACACCACCAACCGTCAAACTAGAGTGCGTGACGTCATATGTGGGTACCGTCAACAGTGCACATCCAGTAAGACGCCTGTAATTTGTATTGTTGTTTTTTTTTACACTTTATAGGTCGACGTTTGACCACCATCTCGCCTGATGGTAAGCGATGATGTGGCCGACGATGGAGCACGTAAACGTGCGTTACCCACGTATGACGTCACGCGACGTAGTTGATGTTTTGTTACAGGTATAGAACAGATTAAAAATGTTGGAATTGTCAAAGTTTGATTTTTTTTAATATAAAACTTAGCCATATATCCTCAAGCGATCACCGGTAACCGCTCTCCACAAACTACATTTATTTTATTTTAAGGGGGGAAATTCATCGAATGACTGCTCCCGCCTGGGTGAGGCGGAAGGGAGTGTTTCTTTTCTGACTAAAAACCACCCCGTTCCTTCTCCTGCACGTCGAGCCGGAGCCCCGGTACCCGTTAGGTTCTCCGCGACCCACAAACTACATTATAGACCTTATTTCCAATGTTTAGAGACTACTTTTGTATGAAAAAATTTAAGGGATGATTTTCAACAATTTTTAACGGGTTACTTCTCAAAAAAATCTTGATGAAAATTCGTTAAAATTTAACGAATTTTATTTATGTAACTGCACTTTATATTTTTTCTTTATTGTTGTCGAATCCTCTATTGGGAATCCGGTAACGTCGCTACTATTAAATTAATTATTTCAAAACATTATTTTATAAATATATACGACATGTAACTTAAATAACGCACATCCTGAAAATAGTTTGTTCAGAATCGTTAACTGAATCGATTTATATAATATTTAGTATAGGTAATTTTTTATCCCAAAAATAATTAAAACTACGGAAATAATTGTCATATTAACCCTGCATTGTTAAAGCAAATCGAAATGGACCGTAAGTCAAAGCAATTAGACTTTTAAAATCGCAGTTTTATTTGTATTCATACAAATTCTATCAATCAATACAAAATAAAGAAAAATAAACCTTATAACAAGACCAGTAAAGATGCTTATACATGTTAAATTAAAAATTTAGTGTATGTATTATGATTATAACATAATATTCTAATTGGGGTGTTTGAGGGTGTGCGTTAATTACGTTACATGTTGTAAATATATTTATATATAGTGCTTTATCTAACTTCTAAGTACTCGTTCAGGATATTTACTCCTTAACTTGTTTGGAAGAACTTTGCCTTGTTTATAAATCTTCAATATAACCCGGTTGTAGTTATTATTTCCTGATTTTTGCATGCTTTGACGTCATTGTATTTTTATCCTGTAAACAAAATATGTTACAAAGTCCTGAACCAATAGATAAAATCCTTTAAATATATAATAGAAGTCAGGTATGTTTCGCTGGCCAAGTATTCGACCGGGCAAGGGGTCTCGGGTTTCATTCCCGGGTGGTAAAGTGCTACTGAGTTTTTTTTAAATCTCAGTGGTAGCAGTGGTACCACGGAATCTGGAATTTTGCCCGGTATAGGCTCACCCCCTATTACATGCGACTCAAAACATCATTCGGGGATAAAAGGCGTAATGTTATGTCAGGTATATTTCACTAACGAATTTATTACTTTCCTGCATTCCTATATAAAAAAAATAAAATAAATATCTAAAAATTGGCCGCTAAAACCATTACATAGAGAGAAGTGGAAGGAGGGTAGGGAGGCCTTTGCCCTGCAGTGGGGCGATCATGGCTGAAAAAAAAAAAAAAAAACATAGAACATATTTACAAATTACAGAACGCTCAGATTTTATAGTAATAAAAAGTTTTAATAATAACAATCGTAATAGTTAATAGTAGTTTATATATAAAATTATTATTATTAGTTTAAATAATTACATATGTACTTAATTAAAATAAATTAATGCGTCGCGCGGAACTGCACGTAGGTCGAGGATTCGATCAATTATAATTATCTTAACCTGGGAATTCTCAGGTTTAATTTATAATGAAACATAATAGTTATAATATAATCTACGCTAATATTATAAGGAGGAAATATTTGTTTGTTTTATGTTTGAATTGACTGCACGGTTGGCGCGGTGGCTGGGCAACCGGCTGCCTTGCAACGTGTCGCGGGTTCGATTCCCGCACGAAACAACTCTGTGTGATCCACAAATTGATCTGTGTGTCATGTGTATTTGAACTTGTGTGTTTTTAAACGCACCTATTACACAGGAGAAAATCCTAGGGTGGGGCAAGGTTTATTTTAAACTGTCAAACACCAAGCGGTCACCGGTGACCGCGACCTATTGTTCTTTAATTGTGTCTATAAAACCGGTACTCGACGAGTTAAAAGAAAAAAAAAATAATTAGGCTCCAAAACTACCGAACCGATTTGATTTATAAAATTCTTTTACCATTGGGATCCTACATTATTTCTGATGAACATACTTACCTAGGCTATAATAGGGTAGTTTCCTAAATTGTATTTTAGCTGGTAGATTAATTTAAACCATTACACACATATTTTTTATTTTCTCACAAAATTAAATACTTTCGACGATATATTAATTTGAAATATCGTATGACGTCACAGCGTGCTACATTTTACAGCACATTGTGACGTAACCTCCCACTCCTAAACTTAACGCCATTTTATCTTAGTATTGTTTTCTTATACGACAAAATAAAAAATACGTGCCTAATATTTTTTCGTTACCTAACTGACGGACTAATTAGATTTTTAATTGTCATACCGTGGCAACGGGTTGTTCTCGTTCGTCCACACCCCGTCGTCCACACTGCGGACGACTGGGAATGTTGCGTTCTGTTCATATTGATACAATACCCAATGTGTAAAATTAAAATGTGAAGTATACTTATGCTAAAAAGCTTTAGATTTACGTACGCAGTACGTATTTAAATACGCAAAAAAGCTTTAGATTTACTAGGTATGTACTTTTAAAGTATTTGCCTTACTAAAGTAATAAAGCTAAGTACATAATATTTTAAAAGTAGGTATGTTTATTATATAAGGAAATACTATCATCATATTTTCTTTATTAACTCTTAGACTAGACGTGAGATGACGGGGTGTGGACGAACGGGAACAACCCGTGGCAACTACCCTATTATGTAACTGGTCACTTATTAAGTTATTATGACAGTTTGTGTTATATAACCTTGTGTACCGTGCATTATTCATGATCTCACGTTTTAATCTTCTTTATCGTACATAAATATTTAACAATCAATATTATACAAATCGCTCCAAGCATTGCTGAGTTTTAACGAAACTAACAAAAGCAAATATATCATTTTTAAAAGACTTAAAAAAGCATTTTAATGTCTGAATAAAGCCTTATTTTAAAATAGATAATTGTTTTATAATTCTTACGTTGGTTTATTAATATATCAAAATCTCTTCCTAAGTGTAACAATGCCTTTTCTGAAAACCTCATCAAAATCGGTTCAATCAATCGCGAGAAAATCGCGCACAAACATACTTACATACCGTCATACGGTCAAACTGGAAAACCTCCTACTTCCCCTTTTTTATGGCATAAGCCGGTAAACGAGCAGACGGATCACCTGATGGTAAGCAATCGGCGTCGCCCATGGACACCTGGAACACCAGAGGCTTTAGCAGGGCGTTAACGGCCTTTTGGGGTTTAGGAGTTTGAGGAACGTTGGGGATCCAGGAATTGCGGAGATTGGGAAGGGAAGGGTAATTGGGCCTCCGGTAACCTCACTCACACGACGAAACACAACGCAAGCGTTGCTTCACGTCGGTGTTCTGTGAGGCCGTGGTATCACTCCGGTCGAGCCGGCCCATTCGTGCCGAAGCATGGCTCTCCCACACTTTAAAAAAGTCTTTTTTGAAGTCAGTTAAAAATGAATAAAAAATATTTTTTTATTTTCAGAATTATACGAGATAAGTCCATACGCGCAGTTCGCAGTTGGCTTCAGAACCTTCGGCCATGTTGAAAACCAGGACATGCCGAGTCGACATACGAAACATAGATATGATACAGGTAATTTGTTATTATTTTGTTTTTATAATAACTATCGTGTGACATATTAAATTAACTAAAAAGCGCGGGTTACTCACGTGAATATACTAAAGAAATGCTCTACTAGTTTCGAATCACAGAGGAGTTCTTCCTTATGAGCAGCGTGCGCGGTCGACTAGAACATACTACAGTAGGCTGCGCGACATCGCCGCGCAAGAACCCCTCTGTGGTTCGAAACTAGTAGAGCTTTCCTCAGTATATTCAAGTGAGTAACCCACGATTTTTAGTTAATTTATTATTATTTTGTTGCAGTCCTTTCTTTAGTCTTTTGTACTAGATTTCGTAATACCTTTGTACTTTAATTTTATGCATGTGTTGTCCTTTATGTTGTATGTGTGTACATAAATAAATAAATAAATAAATAAGTTTATTTCATACGACAAATTGTTACATCAGCCGTTTGTTCATACAATTACTATTATGACATCTCTAGTCATAATTCACAACCACTACTGAACTTGACAGCACGGTCGATTCGATTCCCGCACGAAACAACTCTTTGTGTGGTCTACAGATTGTTGTTTCGGGTCTTTTTTTAAGGGGGGAAAGTCATCGAATGACTGCTCCCGCATGGATGAGGCGGGAGAGAATACATACATACATAACTTCACGCCTGTCTCCCATGGGGGTAGGTAGAGACTAAGGAACGCCAATTACTACGATTCCTACATACCTCTTTCGCTTCATTAACAGTCATCAATCTTTTCATGCATGATAATCTATAAATATACTGTAGATACTTTGCCCGACCCGGGAATCGAACCCGAGACCCCTTGCCCGGCAGTCGCACTTGCAATCACACGGCTAACGAGGCAGTCTTTCTTTCTTTCTATATTTTCTGTTAAAGTTATGTGACTTTTGAGTCTCTAATGCTATGAAATTTTTTCTTCCAGAAACGAGTTTCCAAGTATGTTCAGAGTCTGAGGACAGCGATAGCATATCAAAGTCCACATTAAAAAGTGTGCCGAGAAGTAAGTTTATCCTTCATTTTTCTGACAATATCTGGTAAACAAGCAGACGGATCACCTGATGGTAAGCAATCGGCGTCGCTCATGGACACTTAGAACACCAGAGGCGTTACAAGTGCGTTACCGGCTTTTTGGGGATTAGGAGTTTGAGGATCGTTGAGGATTCAGAAATTGAGGAGATTGGGGAAGGGGAGGGTAATTGGGCCTCCGGTAACCTCACTCACACGACGAAATACAACGCAAGCGTTGCTTCACGTCGGTGTTCTGTGAGGCCGTCGTATCACTCCGGTCGAGCCGGCCCATTCGTGCCGAAGCATGGCTCTCCCACACGTACAAATTATATAAGAAAAAAGTAATGTATAATAATTAAAATGTTATTAAATACATTTTCTTTCTTCCAGAAGCCTGCAGAACACCACATCATAGGTAACTAGATAACGAAGAAGTTTAAAAAAGGTTGACTCAAAGGACCACCAAATTAAACAACACACCAGCACATGAAGTTACCACCAAACCACCGATCAATTTTCAACTTTATTACAACAATAAAATAAAGTTAAAACTCCATTCAATAAGAGAGTATGTTGATGAGCTGTTACAGTCATTAGTCAATGTCAAAATCATTTATTTCAATTAGACCGAAAAGGTACTTTAGAACGTCAACAAAAAAAATTAAAAGTGAAGCTATTTGCTCATTCCAATGTGTAGATTCCGATTCCTATGGAGAAGAACGAGCAAGAAACTCCATAGGTTACTCTTTTCCAATCAGGTTCACAATACAACTCTCTAGTTACATAGTTTTGTTGTTTGGATTGTGCGAGAACAATGTAACACTAAAATACAGTCAAAGAGATCGAAAAGAAAATAACCTTAAGGACAATAAATAATACGGTCTGGAGCTGACCAGTCCCAGTTGACGGCGCCGGTTCACGAACATGACACGTACACCAGCACCATTGTTATCTACAATGACTTTAATGATCCATTTGAGTAATAGTCTTCTCTTGTGACGTCAATCCATTCATAACGGCTTCATATACCTACATAACTTTAATTCCCCAGATATTTATACTAATTTTATAGTGAAAACCTTTCCTTAAATAACTAAATTTCATATTTAACATATGTTTTTCCTTATAACAATAAAAGTATTAGTCATACTCATTCAAAATCAGTATGAGTATAATAAAATAAAGTAGTACACTCACTCAAAATAAGTACAATAAAATAAAGTCGATAATTATGTTATTGTTAAAAAAGTGCCAAAATAATGATGTACGCGAAGCGAATCTCTATTTGATAATGCGAAAAATGTTTCGGAATAATAATATTTTACGAAAATCATTTCATGTTGACAATTACCCAAATTAAATTTATTGCCAGGTACACGTTTCATGTCTCACTAATTTGAAAATTCTGAGTGAAGTCTAGTAGTAGGTAGTAGTAGGTAGGTAGTACAAAAACAAAAATAAGTCAGCCAAATAATAAAAAGGAGGTCAGTCAAAACTCGACTTTGAAAATAAAAATGTAAAAATAAATATCATTGTAACATTACGGACAAAATTCATTAGATGCGACTTTTTATCCACATTTGCAAGCTAATCAATAATAATAAAAAAATAGCTTAATTAGTTTAGTTTTAGCTTGAAACCATTGCATAGTATTACCAAGACATTTCGCTTAAATATCTTTAAATAATGTACATAATTAAATAATGAATTCCTCGTGAATTTTGTCCTTAATGACTTTGACATTATAATGATTATCTTTGAGTCATAATAAGGCTAAAATAAAAGAGTGATGTATAACTGAATTGCGATTGTAACTGAATATGTTCGTGAAAGCCCAAATATGGTGCAAAATAATGTAAAACTTGGGTTTTTTGGAGGATTGTGATTCAAACTATCGTTTTTATGTACTGTTGCGATATCTAACAGACAATATGAACTTGATATTAGATCATCAATTACTGTAGGGTACGACGAACTTATAATCAACACTGTAGGGATTTACAACCCCTACAATTACGTCATAAAATATATATAGAACATCTATTAATTCAGTGCTTAACTGAGATGTCTAATTTTGATTGTTTTGATCACCAAACGATTCGCCAGATAAACTGATAAGTAGTGATCAGATAGTGGCGGAATAAAATAAAATGAATTTACTGAAGGGTATAATATAACCTGGGAGTATTCAAGGCCCGAGTGAATAGGTTGCTTATGGGACGACGTGCTTCATCGTCGACCGCATCATCGCTTACCATCAGGTGAGATAGTGGTCAAACGTCGCCCCATCAAATATAAAAAAAAAATATATAAAAAAAGCTAATCCGTCAATGTTAAATTTTTTATTTATATTTCAAAATTTATAGTTTCTTATAGACTGAATTTGATATTAGGAAGCAAAAAAAAGTCAGCCATATACTGAAAAAAAAGCATATATACAGTCGAATTGAGACCCCCCTCCTTTTTTTGAAGTCGGTTAAAAATGACTCATCATCATCATCATCATCTTCAGCCCGTATTCGTCCACTGCTGGACATAGGCCATAACATAACATAATCACAAAGTAAATGACAAATTACTTCTTTCTTATTTTGCTATCCTAGTCCTCATGATAATGTTCGGGCATCCCCTTTCAAAGTTCACGGTTCTTTCAAGAAACCCAAGTTTAGCAACATTGTAAATAATTGTTTATATAATAGCTATGACATTGCTAAATATCTAGTCATGTACTTACTTCAATATTATTACAAGTTCGCTACAAGTGACTGTTGTTAACCACATGACGTCATGACGTATATACACACGGCCACACATCAATCTATACAAAACCAGTTTATCCTGGCGTCGCGTCGCATAATCTTTTCGCACATTTAACGTTCAGTTTATACTGGTTATGTAAAGCTCGATGTGTAGCCGTGTGTACATGTACTTATAACACCAGAAAAATAAATTATTAGTCCTATATCCTTTACAAAATCCTTGTTATATATTTGGTTAATTAAAACCACAATTTCGTTATGTGTCATTGCACTTTTCACTTATTTGTTTAGGTAACATTGTCATGTTTTCAACTTATTTATAATTCATGCTTACTCATGTAACTATTTGACGAGGAACTCGACTAGAATCCATGCTAGAGCCTCATATTCATGAGCAGCATTTCGCGACCAGCGACGCGGCGACTGTCGCGTTGCAGTCGTCGCGCTAGTAGCAGAACGACAGTCGCATACATAATAATTGATCCCACGAAAGTCTTAATATATATTTATTTATTATTATATAACAATATGAAACTTAAAATATAAAAAACTAAAATATTTACACCTTAAAAAAGTATATAACTATAAGTAGCTTCTGCCCGCGACTTCGTACGCGCAGTCCCGTTTTCTGAAGAACCTTCTCCTAATAATAACAAATACAACAAAAAAGGTTGGGGAAGGGGAGGGTAATTGGGCCTCCGGTAACCTCACTCACACGACGAAACACAACGCAAGCGTTGCTTCACGTCGGTTTTCTGCGAGGCCGTGGTATCACTCCGGTCGAGACTGGCTCTCCCACACTTTTTATCTATAAAGCTCTTTCGAACACGTCTTTCTCATCTATAAATCCTTTTTGGTCATATTTTTGTGACATAAAATAATATTACTGAAATTGCAGTCAAATCGACATGATTTCATCACAATAAAGTCGCAGTTGTTATTTATGATTAAAAACAATAAGTGACGCGTATTATTCTTTATATTGTTTACATTTTATTATTTTTCCTGTGATGTCATTCTGTTTCGTAATATTACAACATCAATATCAACAGCCTATAAGTGGCCACTGCTGACCAAAGGCCTCGTCTGACCAAAGGCCTCTTCTGACCAAAGGCCTCGTCTGACCAAAGGCCTCGTCTGACCAAAGGCCTCGTCTGACCAAAGGCCTCGTCTGACCAAAGGCCTCTTCTGACCAAAGGCCTCTTCTCACACGGCGAAGGTTTGAGCATTAATCACCACGCTTGCTCAATGCGGGCTAGCGAATTCAAACCTATAACTTTTTATTTTATTTTTCTTATGTAAACCGGTAAACGAGCAGATGAATCACATGATGGTAAACAACCTGCGCCGCCCATAGACACCTAAAATACCTAGGCGTTACAAATGCGTTACCAGCCTTTTGGGAATTGGGGATGTGAGGATTGTGGAGGATTCGGGGTTTGGGGAGACGGTGTAGCGGGGGAGGAGAGTATTTGGGCCTCCGGTAACCTCACTCACACGACAAAACACAACGCAAGCGTCCAGTCGAGCCGGCCCATTCGTGCCGAAGCATGGCTCTCCCACGCTTAAATAATTATATATATATAAGCTTAGGTTTTCTCAAAAAGTTTTCCTGCACCGTTTGTCAGTGTTGTCTTTATTTAGATTTGTCTTAGAAAGTACATATAACTCGGAAAAGGTCACATTGGTACTTGCCGTGAGTAGGTTTCGAACACGTATCCTCAAGCCCCCGCAAAGTCATTTTAAAATGTTACGACACGACAAATACATTTTTCCTAGCATTGCTTTTTCACAATACTGATGTATCATTAGATGGACACACACATACACACATACATACATATTTGTTTTTGACTAATATTTAGTTATTCTATGTATGATTTATATTATTTTCTGTAATAAAAAATATACTGCTCTCTAATAGACACTGCCTCGTTGGCCGAGTGGATACAAGTGAGGCTGCCGAGCAAGGGGTCTCGGGTTCCCAGGTCGGGCAAACTATTACTGGGTTATTTAAAAAAAATCTCAGTAGTAGCACGGTGTCTGGAATTGTGCCCGGTATATTGCAATAGGCTCACCTCCTATTATATGGGACTCATAACATAAATACTGAAAAGTGGGGGTTACATTGTACAGTGGCATTAAGTGCCGTAATGTGTAATTTTCATAACATGTTATGTTATGATTATAATATAACATATTTATCTCGATATTCAATATTAATTTTCCACAGACTCTTGGTCCGTGCCCTTGTCATACATTTTTTACAATAAGTCTGATCAATATTTATAAAGTACCTATGTCACATTGATAATACAAGGTGTAGTTTTGAAACCATGGCATTTCTCGGGGGCATGTCACAGAAGTCATAAAGGTTCAATGTAAGAGAAATTTTCGGGGCAATAGTTATAAATACGGCTATAACAAATCGTTTAAGTTTAAGACAGTATTTCAGAATGAGCGACTGCAATGTTTCTTATTGGAGTTTTATGGAATTAGGAATAATATCAATTACGTGTTTGAGTTTGTGTGTTAAGCCGCGTTATAAAACTAGTTACAAGACGGCGGCGTGTAGTTCGCACTTACGGATTTTCGTAATTTACAGAAAAATGATAAATATTTACCTACAATTTTTTTTTTATTGATTCGGGCTCAGAATC